TGTTGTTGTTGTTGTTGTTGTTGTTGTTGTTGTTGTTGTTGTTGTTGCTTACTGTGTTGTGTGTCTATTTTTGTGTGGCTTCTGTGGCTTTGGGCATTTGTTGCTTCTCTTTTGACTTCACAGGTCTTTGTGGCTGGCATTTTTGTCACATTACTGCGGAGTATATCATCTTTGTGCTGTTGTCCGTTTTCGCTTCTGCGGCTTTTCTTTTTTTGCTTCGGTTGGCTTAGCTTCTATTCATTGCAGGTTGTCCTCTTTGTGGTTATTGTTTGTCTTCAGCGTTTGACTGGAAAAGCTCGGCTGAGCCGATATGTATTTGTATCAAATGCATCCTAGCGCTCACACACCGACGTATCTCAAGACTTCCACAGGAAGAACCACGATGACATAATGTGTGTTCACATGCACATAAATGTCAACCCCCCCGCAATCAGCAACCTAGCCAAAACAAACACAAAAATCAAAAGGCCTAACATTTAATCTAACATTACTATTCCGGCCCATATGAACATTGCAGCCCATATGAATGTGGAAGGGAACCAGTCGACCAGTCGACTCTCCTCGCAGGACCCGCTCTGCTGGGATGGTTCCTTCACGGCCGACGTGTGTTGCGACACAAAATTCGGCCCCCGAGGCGGGCGAAGACGGCGCAGACTTGACCCTCGTGGCACTGGTGGTGAGCAAAAAAGAAGATCGACGTACCCTGAGAGACTGGAGGATGATCCGTTCCGAAACTCCCTTTTAAATGTATATCCCAAATGCCAGTACTACTACTGACTGTATAACAGGGAAAAATGGTATGCTCTGCTCGCCATCAGAAACCGGATGCTGGACTTGGGAAATGGCAGGACACATCTCGGGGACGAGGGGGGTTCTTCTCAGCATCCTTTCTGCGAGGCCACGAAGCTTGCTGGGACAACGTCCACACCTTTGAGCGGTGCTGTGGGGAGGCTGGAACTTCTTGGGAAACTGGCTGACTGAAACGTCGCCCACGTATCGGAGCTTTTCCCATCTTCACAAAAAAAAAGTTGCATCCTGGGTTGGAAATCCATGGAAATCCATGTTTTCCGATGTGTTTGGCCGTGTTGTCGTTGCAAGACAGATGCAATGATGCAACCAAATCCGTTTGATATTCTTATTCTTTGATGTTTTTTTCCATAGCATGTGCCCAATTCGCTGTACGCCGGCATGATAGTTCTGGGTATAGGCTCGTGGGTGGATTTTGCACTCCTCCCAAATCTCGTTGAAGACCTCATTTTTCCGGTTCCTTCATCGATCTTCCAATCTCGTTCTCCAGACTGCACAGATCGACTTCCTGAAACAGGCGCCCAACTGTCCGGAATGTCCCATGGTCCCGGCCGCGTCGAAATGCCACAGGACTGTTTGGATTCGCTGTCCTTCAACGTGGAGCGCTGCTGCGATTTGGTGCAGAGCGAGACGGGCGACCAGGTCCGGGCGGCGATTGGTGATGGCGGTGAAGACCGCCAGTGCAAATTGATGGGTTTCATGGGGAGTTGTTGAAGTGTCACGACTGTGATGTAGAGTGTTGATTAGACAAATGACAATAATACCATAATATTATATACCTAATTGTAAGTCTACCGGCGTAATTTACGTGTTTTGACAAATCTAAACATTAAACTTCAGCTAATTCCAAAGCCAGTGCGTTGCAAGAGTTGAGGGTCTTCAGTGGAGGATGGTCGATGGTTGTAATTTTCTCCACACACCGGGTCCAGGGTTTGAAAACCGCCCAAGGGGGCAAGCAGCAACGGAACTTTTATTTTTGTCGGCAAAGTTGAACAAGTGTCCAATGCAAGTTGCCTTGAAGAAGAGGGGTGGAACTGAGACAACCACGGAGTGGCTCCGATTTGGAGTCCAATCTCTTCTCACTGTGGTCGATGTCCCTAACACATCCTAACACTACATTGACCCCTGTTCAACCACCCCAAGGTTGTAGATATGCCAGTCCCGTAAAAGCATGTGGGTTTTATATTGGTTGCGGTCGAGTTCTTCGGGAGGCGAATTCTTCCTGGATCGAAGAGTCCTTCAAAGAACGACCTGTAGTTGATAACTTTGAGAAAGAGTCAAGCAACATAGTAATTTTAAATGTCCTTGGTTCTTCAAAGTGACTCTTGAGCAGCCATAATGGCCTGGTTTCCAAGATTTAGTGACCCTAAACAGAAGAATCCACATGAACGACTCAAACCTTGTTCTATGTGAGTGTCTTTGCAACATCCTTCTATCAACCCACGCAACTAACCAACGAACCAAGCAGTTGACATAATCACCCACAGAGGTGAAGGTCCCCTCAGCTCTGAAGGTCCCCTTTGCTCCCAAGGTTTCTTCCTGCAAATCATCCACAGTTGTCACAGTTGTCATGTTTTGCGTCTTGGGCGCCCATGAAACGGGCTCATCAGGCATGCTGGCAAGGAGTCTCTCGACGCAGAGAATTGCGCCGAGAACTACGGGCCAGTGCTCGGTTTAGCCGTTGGAGCAAGAGCACAAAGAGTGAAACTAATATCAAATGGGTGTGCAATGATGTGCATGTTCTATTGTTGGGAGACTCTCTTTCACGCCTTTTCATGCTTGTTTCTGTTTCTGTTTCAGTCCTTGTTTCCTCCGAAGTTGCAGATTTCACATGCACCAAGTTGAGGGGAATAAGGGATTTCAGTCAAAACCTGGCAACGATCTTTGATCGGTTGTCGGTCCTTGGCTTGCCTATGCTTGCCTTTACCGCCCCAAAAATGAGTGACGTGCTTGCCACTCCAGGTGGGGAAATTCGTTCATGTCCGTTCGCCCCATTTTTGGGTGAAACCATCATTTTCGCCCCACTAGGCTTCTAGCAAGCTAGTCTGCAAGCTGTATTTTGTGTATTTGATTATTTGATCAATTGATCCTTATCCTAAGATGCTTCATGCGGAGAAAGCCCAGCAACCTATTCCCTCCTTTGTCAGAAGGCCCCTGAGCTTGGCTCATTCAAGCCCATGCCTGGAAACGCGTGGCCGTGCGGGGCATGTCGAAAAACTCATCCTACACCTCATGTAACTTGGAAGGTGCAGCGTTGATCTAATCGAAGGGCTGTTTTGGACCCGTCCATTGCTTCAGCGAGCTTGGTACAGCGTCGCTGGAAGAAGATCTTCCTGGTCCACCGATCGTTGCACATGTGTTTTGGAGGTGAGGTGGACCTCTTTTCAACCACGGAGTGGCAGGGATGACCTACTTGATTCACAGAGGCATAGAGGGACTATTTGAAGTGTTCAACCCGATTGGTCTACGGCTCGGGTATGTTGTTGCCTCTCCCCTCATCGACACCTCGCCACCTCGCCTTGCCGCGACCCAGACACATCACAGCTTTGAGCACTGCTGCCAGCCACGTGCGGGCGAAGCGGGTGCCAGTGCTTATGAGGGGCTACCCAGCTTGCCAGAGTTCGGCTGCTTGGGCAGGATGGCGAACCACGGCGGATGGGACCGGCCACCGGCCTTGGCTGGCGGATGAGGTGAAAACCCCGGTGAGGTGGGTCCATGGGACTCAAAAACATAAGACTTCGATCGTCAGAGGGTGGGTTGTTGTGGCAGACGAGGCCTCAAACTCAAACCTTTGGAAACAGATGAGAATGACATGGGAAGCTTTTTGGGGTGTGGGTTCAAACAGTTCAAACCAAAAGAAGCATTGGTGAGTGAACGTGGGGAATTATGATTGCAGCAAACAGCAGCTTTGCAGTCAGAAGCGCCTCACTCAGTTGGGTGACCAGTCAGATTCTTGGTCTTGGGAAAGCAGTAGAAGACTACACTCCCAAAAAATAACATATACCCTGACGTCCTGGTCCCATGGAAGACGATTTTCCTCTACCAATCAGGGGTTTTCCATGTTAGTCTTCCAGACTAGATCGACCGCACGGTTTTCGACCGGTAACGGTCTGAGAAGGGTGGCCAAACATGATCAAACATGTTCTTCGGAATCTGTGCATTTTAGTCATTTTAGTCTATAGACAGTCTATAGTTTTTGGCAAATCTCTTTTTCATCCACACCGCCAATGAGTCTGGATGGCGTTCAACACTTTTCCATCCGTTGAACGCGTGCCAGATTCACGCCGTGATGTTCCTCACGTAGGACAAGTCATCCAAGTCGCCATGATTTGCCGTCCCTCCATGCGCCTCCCTAGCATCAAAACATATCAAAAACCATGAACAAACTCATCCCAGTGCGTCCCTGATGGGCTGGTTCCTCACGTTCCTCCCTGAATCTTCTGGGGATCCTTTTCAAACTGCTCTTCAGACTGCTCCATGATGCTCAGACTGGCCTCCAAAGGCCTGGGGAACCCAACCGCATCCCAGACAGCGGTTCCTCCATCGGCTGAGGGGAAGGCTGCTGGGATGCGGAGCAGCTCATCACCTTTGCGCGCTGCTGTGGGACACCAGGGGTGAAGGAGAGTAGAAACACTGAGTTTTTGGTTTGTTGGTGCCGCGATGGAGTCGCTTTTGGTGCCGCGTTGGGAGGGATAGAAAGGGAGGACACGAACGAAAGGGAGAGTGAGATTGTTCAGGTGATCCTTTTGGGATCCAATTTGAGGAACGAACGCAGCACCCCAAGGGTATATCAGTCATACGGTGTGTCCCATTGCTTGGACGGCTGTATGAGCCCATCGATGCATGGCAGGTTGGTTGAAGTCGCAGTTTGATGCAGTTGGCCCGTGGGTCCGATCCTCACAATCTGCTTGGGGGAAGCATCTGGGTTTTCGCTTTCTGAGTTGTTGTCCATGAGTGGCTTGTCATTGCTTCGTTTGTTCGGTCTTTGGGTCTTGGCACATGTATTTTTGCCCCAGGTGACCGCCGGCCGCACCGTCCAAGGGGGTCTCCCGGTACCCTACACCACTTAGGGATCTGGGGATCTCCATTGGACACCCGAGAGGATGGTCCCTTGTAGAGGATGCTTTGTTAGGCTTTGTTAGTTAAGGAGACCCCGCAGGGTCAGGGTCAGAGGCACAAATCCGTTAAACCTGCCTCTACACTCTTTGGATCATCGAAGACCTGGAACGCCGACGTCCTGGACGAGCGCCGCTCCCTTCACGTCGCTGGATGTTTTTTTTCTCCAGGACTACTGCTTTGTGGGTGAATATACCTATGGCAGATGCTGCACTGGCCTGCACCCCATTCCCAGGACGTCTTCGATGCGTCTCCGCCGTCGCCGTCCCGGGAGAAGGCCCAGGCGACATGACGGTCCAGAGAAGGCGAAGGCCATATATACCGTGGTGCCAAAATGGTCGGACTATTCTAGGTGTAGTGTGAAGGGATGTGTGAATCTTAAAAACACATCTAAATTAAAAGCATCTTGGGTGATCTAAGCAAGCTTTCTAGATAGTGATTCATAGTGCTTCACTATGAAAAAGGTTCATGAATTAGCCTGAATCTTCTATTCAGGGATCTTCATGTGTGACTGTCAGCAGACTCTGATGTCCCTACCAACAGCCACAAGTCCATGCGTATCGACACTCAGGGTTCGTCGGCAGGACATCCATTCCTGGTTGAAATGGCCAAGGGGGTTTGTCATTGTCGGCCATCGCTATGAGGTTGGAGCATTCAGCTTCCCTGGAAGAACACATGCCAGTTCCAAAGGAATGAGTTTTAGGCCCCAAAGTGACGTGGATGTGTGTCAGCACTCCCTCTCGGACTGGTGCCACCGATGGCGAAGTCGGTCATGACAGTTTTGGTGGTGACCCGTGGTCCATGTTCGTGCTTGAACAGAATCTGTTCAGAACAATCGATCGGGGTACACCCTAGATCGCTGCACCTGTTATTGAGTGCGGCTCCCACCCGCCCCTTGAACATTCTTGAACCCCCTGCATCCCCCCGCCGGATTCGCGACACGGCCAGGAGCTTTTTGGACGTGCCATTGGAACACGAACTTGTGAGATGCTTGCGGGAAGCGAGAGATGGCGGCATCAGCAGCAATGGAAGCTACGAGGAATGCAACGGACGGTTGCTGGGCAAGGATGGAGAATTGGCGGGCTATCGGCGTTCAAACGATTGGATGGAACATGATGGAACATCTTCAATGAAGCCTTCCCTACTTGGGGCTTAGGGCCTATTAGGGCATAAGGTGGCAAACTGACGAGTAAATCGCGACAGTTCAAGTACCGCACTGAAAGAATCAAGTTCCATGAGTGATCTCCAAGCTCCAAAGTCAGCAACACTTGACTCGATGAATTCATGTAGAATCTGAGTGAATCACTTGACTTCAGGGAGGTTTTCTATTGAATCTTCTCTTAGCAACCGACCGGGTGGACCCTCGTCCGTCACCGGTCGCCATGTCACTGGACCTGCGTCCGATTCATCGGCGGTCACCAGGTACTTCCACGTCTCGGCGGTGCTGTACCGCTATGCCGAGTTCGAAGTGATGCATGACTTCTGGTGGCAACGTCCGCAGGACGGGTGTCAAGACGTCGGGAACGGTGGGCGTTCTATATATACTTTTGCGCAAGCACGAAAAGGATACCATGATGAAACCTGGGTTGATTTGCAGGTGCTGCGAAGAACCGGTGACTTGTAACAGTATGCTGGGATCTCAACCCATCAGCCATCATGAGTTTGGGGGAAGATTGGTGATCCATCTAAACCATTCTAAACCGGAATCGGACTCACCAGGACCCCCAGGAACTCAAGAAGGAAGAAATCTTCAGCGCGAAAGGCCGGGATGGGCGCAGCGCGTGGCGGTCCGCGATGGGCGCCCAGAAGCAGGAGTCGATAAATTTCACGGTGGATGGAAATGCATCAAGTGAGAGTTGTTTCATGTATTATGATGTATTATGTATGGTATATAGTTTATTATAGTATTTTTGGGAGCCACTGCATCGTATGGTGGTAGTTGTATGAATTTGTTGAGGTCATTAGAGGTCATTCGCATCTGACACCACTTTGAGGACCATCCATGCAGTTCATGGGGATTTGGTTGTTCTTTGTAGTTCCCAATGTAGATGGTAGTTCCCAAATTCTCTGGATGGGGCGAATTCACTCGAAAGTTGTCTCAAAGAATTACATCAATAGAAAAATCCGGGTGCAGTGGGTTCTTTAAAGTGGCGAGTTCCTTCTTAGTGTTTTGCAGTCTTTAAAGGCGGTTTCCTGTTCTTTAGCAGGGCATGCCGTACATGGATTCATTAGGGACTCTTCTTTGAGCGGTTTTGATTTTTTAGTTACCTTTGTGCACCCTGAACCCGTCCCAGTGTGAGGCCGGATTTGAAGGAGCATCCAAGAAGTTGTGTTATTCTTTTTGCACGGGTTTAGTCGATTCATATAATATCATCAAGGTTCAGGATCATCTCAAAAGACATTTCTTGGGAATCTTTAACACATCTTGCATCAGTGCCCAGTTTGATGTCCTGCTGAAGTGGTAGTCAATTTAATAGGGGCCAACTTTCATTGGGACCTCTGGTGGCACCCACTCCAGGAAACGTTCACTACTACAATTTGTTGAACCCACCCCTCCCAGCAGCATTTTTCACGTACCACCTCACCCGGCAGTATACCAACCACTCCACCAGCGCTGAGCACAAAACCAAAGCAATCCCCCCAAAACACATGCCCTTCAAGACTTCAAGATCTAATGATAACTCAAGAAAGCTGGTGACCAACATACATCTTCAGAAGGGCCCACCCAAACTTCACTTACGTGATGCTGCAGACTCCGGCGTCCTCGTTCTTTCGGCGTCCGACTCAGGGCGCCGCGTGACCGCGCCGGAGTGGCTGCACCATTCCGGGTCGATTTGCGCTCCCCAGAGCTGCAGCCACTCGGCGGCTGCGGACGGTCGAGTCCGGTCCGTTTCGTCGAGTCGTCGAGTCGACGGTAGACCCGGGACTTCCTCCCATCTCGCTCAGGTGAGGAGGCGATGGCTGGATGGTTCGCGCCACTGGTGGACGTGGGGCAACATTACATTTGGCCCAAGTACCGCCAGTGTCCTGGCGAGAGGTCGTGTTGGGGGATCGCGAGCTCGTTCCAGGTGTCTACTGGTAAGTCCACAGAACAAGCCAGGCCGTTCCAACACAGAAAACATTTGGTTCCCATCAGAATTGCTTGGAATTTGTATGACAGGTACCTCATATATGTGGCATCTGGAGAAACCAATCCAAACTCCACCCCATTGACATGAAAAACCGTTTTGGAACTAACATGAAATTAACAACATGAGTGGGTCGTCTCTGGAAGTTTGGTCCCTGGTTTTGGAAAATGGTCGTTTGAACAGAATTGACGTCATGGACATGTCCACTCGAAAGAATCCTGGTTTCAGAGTAGACAGTCACAGACCCGACGGACGATGCGAAAAGACGGGGATACTGCAGCTTCCCAGTTGGATAGGGTTCGCGTCACGGTGAAGCTTCCTGGGACTTTCCGACTTGAACTCGTAGGTCCAAGTCGTTGTAGAATGGATCGACCATGTGTTCTTGTCGTTGGCAGGGGCTTGTCCAAGTTGAAGGCGAGATGATGTAGTTTCTAAAGATGTGAAAGAGCACGGAACAGAGGAGCATAGAGGAGCTGTGGGCTTTGCATGTGCTCTGTATTGGTCGTTCCGGAGGTCTTAGGACTCGGTGTAGCAGGATTCTAGCCATGTGTAGCCCGATTCTCGCATCAATGGTGTCCTCATTGTTCCTCGAGATGAGCCAAGTGTTCGTGTTCAATTTATTTTGTAATTTTTGTCAAGATTCATTCATGATAAGATATCCCTGCTCTTCCTGTTAGACATGTAGTCAATGTAGTCAACGTAGTCCAAGGTCCATTGACTCCTAAGGCGTCACCTGAGAGTTCTGTAGAAGAAGGCTAGTTGAGTCGAGAAGATGGTCAGACTAAGTCAGATGTCAGAAATCTCGCCATGTGACTTTGGGCCTTGGCCCCAAAACAAGGCGGCTCAGTCTGCTTCCTGAGGCTCAACGACACTCACATGCGAGTCTCGCCCTTGAATGCAAGGAAGCGGCCCTATCCCAAATTTGAAGGCCTGCAGATTTGTTAGCTGTTTGTTAGCTGCAACAGATTGTGTTCTTTAATGATATGGTTTGGTTTTGAAAGGGATTGTATTTTCATGGTATTTCCCAAGCATTTGATACGGCTCCCCCCCCGGTGAGAAGGTGGGGTTTTGGTCCGGTCTGGCCCAGACCGGAAAGGCAGTTGGAGCCTCGTGGCTTGCACCCCAGGTAGTGATAGATAGACAAGATTTGAAGAGATGTTCGATTCTGTTGAGATTGCGAGTCGCTCGATGGTAGTGAGCATCACACATGAAACATGCAGGCAATAACACATGAGTTCCGGAACTGGGTTATAGAATGAGGAATCCTTTTGCAAAGTGATCACAATCGCAGGCAATGTATATAGTTTTGATTGTCCAGGTGGTTCCAGCATGTTTATGCCGCTGGAAATTGAACAAATTGGTGTATATAGGTGGCCTTGGCTGATGTTTCCCTCGTTTGCTGTTTTTGTTTCGGCGCGCTTGGCAACACCTTGTGCAGAACGGTATTTCTCCGTTTGAAAAGCGGAGTCTCACCGGAGAAACGGCCGCGGGCGGCTTCGCCAGGTTCCTGGCTCTCATATCGACCTGCAGCAGATGCCTTGCTCAGGTGACCTGGAACAGCAGAGTTGGCTTTGAGTCGTCGCTGTTGAGGTGATTGGGGACAAAGCAAACTCTTAGATTTATAACCCCCCTAGTTAAGATTGAACAACCTCTTCATATGGGGTGTTTAATCTTTTTTTTAGTCAAGAGTCTACAGTACCATGGCACAGGGCTGTGTCTAGGTTTCTCCAATCCGGGCACTTGCTTTGTAAAGCAAGGACCAAGACCAACAGCTGGGTGGTTTTCGCTGGGCGAATACTGTCTGCAAGACCGGGAATCGGCAAATTCTCACGGAATCGGCGATTCTTGGAGTTGGCGTACAAAGTGTTCCCTTCTCTTCCGTACCGGCACCACCATCGAAGATTCAGCTTCTATAGTCCTGCATTGGGCCTGATGCCCGATGGCCGGACAAGGGTTCGGACCAAGGGTAGGGGGTGAATAAGCAGAATTGCACACTGGCTTGAAGCACAATGGTACCACGCTGTGATTTTAAGCAGAGTTCGTGTCCTGATGCGCTGTATATCAAATCGTAGAATCGCTTCTACTTCAAGAATTGTGAGCTGTAAGTTGTCGACATGATGTGAGTGGGTTCGGAACATATGCCCAAAGGAGGTTTGATTCATCCCAGCAATGTCCTTCTTGAGTCGGAATCTTCTTTGATCAGTCAGATGTGAAGAGCTTGCCAAGCTACTTCGAGATGTGCCCGTGTGCCGAGGCAGCAGCAGAAGTTGCAGAACTACTTCGAGTTCGTGCTCACTGAACATAAGACTTTGAGGCTTGATTCCATGAGGTTTGATGAACTGGTTCGTAGCCTCAGATGGAATTGAATGTGCTTGACAGATGTGTTTACATGTGGCTTGCAACTGTCCAGTGTGGAATCGTGCAGATTCAGATGACCAGACCTTTGGAATGCCTCCGAACTGGAGTACGCACGGTCGAAGTGGACCTGTTTCGATTCTGATATATAGTACGATCCACAGGTGGAGGACAAGGAAAACATCTTATTCACGTGCGATGTTATCGTTAATTTTTTGTATTGTAGGGAGCCAGGTTTGCGGCACGGGTAGGCATCAGTGCTGTCCGTTGCAACCGGGGACCAACCACCAACTGGCAAACGTTCGTTCTATAGCCTTGCGGATTTTGCGTTGCCCACGGGGTTCTTCTACACAGCATCAGACCGATGATGCTCTCTTTGTCAGGCAGCATCTCCAAGCCGGCAACGTGAACTCAAATTCAAACTTCAATGACCAACCCAGTCAGTGGATGACCTGGAAATTGTGAGTAGGCGTTTGGGGTCGCTCAAATCCAACATGAAAAAGGTAAGCAAAATTGGCTCCATTCTCCAACCTCTCAACGCAGCCGTGAGGGTCAGCCCGGTTGATGTCCACCGGTGTCCACCGGTCAGACTGAGCGATCGATTGTGCTGCACCACTCGCCTCGGCGCGGGGGGGGCAGTTCACCCCGTCACCAGCGGTGATCCATGGGAGTTTGATAGGAAAAGCGCATGAAACTGCCATTGATAGGAACATCAGCTGATGGAAACATGGGAAGATCATCAGCTTGTTTTTGAAACATACGTTCCAACTGACTGAACACAAGCTAATGGAATATATCCTTCAATGCATGGCGGCAACAAAGAAGAGCATTGCGGCGGCACATAGCATCACAGAACAAAGCTGGTCATTCTGAAAAGAATGACAAAGGACGTTCGATGCAATTGACCCCCCCAACTGGAAGATCATCACATTGGCGTTCGTAGCAACAGCCACGAAGGCTGTGGTGCACAAAAGATCCTGTCATGGAAACGTATTTGCAGCAGCATAGACACAAAACGCCACAATGTTTGCAAACATGACCACATGGGAGTACAAAGGCAGCACTTTGCAGACATTCCCTACAGGTCAAAGACCTCATTATACTCATATCCAGTCGGTGCATGACCTTTAACCCTTTTGGGGGGAGTGGTTTCTCCACTATAAACAAGAACAGGTAGTCAAAGGGTTAACCTCTATGTTCTAGAGAAACTGAAGGAGTCAGTACTGGAGTGCTGGATCTCCCTTTTGAGCGGAAGTCCAGATAGTCAACCAACGGTCAAAAATCGGACAGGCAGCTGCGCCTGAGCCGTCAAAGCTGTGGCGTACTGCTGGCGCTCACGTTGCCAATTCTCACCGCAAGTGTCCTGTTAGCTTTGGGTGTGCAGGCGCGACACGTCTCGGAGAGTCCTCTTCTGGAGATATGAAGCAAATGGTGCAAGAGAGCCGGCCGTGTGTGGTGTTTGGTGCTGTTTTTCTTATCTTTTTTTTTTCCGGACCAGACTCGACATGATAAAACACTCTAGGTGAAAGTTTCCAGTTTCTTAAGTGCGAAGGGAACACTTGCGGAATTATTGTTTTTTGTTTTTTTTTTTCGCGGTCGAAACAGTCTTCGATCCCCAGAAAACTCTCCAGAGTCATCCGGAGTCTTTGAACGCCCTTCAGATCTTGACCTGTCCATAGGCTGCCAAACCCTTGGCGCTTCAAAGCAGCGTAATGCGACTGGGCATGCCACGACCTCTATGCTTTGACGTGCAGCTTGGTCTAGACTGGAGTTCGAAGTGATGTTCCTCTGGTAGGCAGTACCTCCTAGATGTGGTTGGTTGTGGGGTGCCAACCTGACCTGGTCGGGTCCTGTTCCACAGAGCTGCTGAGCAGAAAGTGGGAGGTGGCAGCGTTCGGTGGCGGATGAATGACTAATGAGGATTTAGCCTTGTGACTTCACAGCAGAAGATCCAATAATATGTGGTTCCAATAAATGACAAAGGATAGGTCACAATATATATAATTCATTGATATTCAATGTATGTTATATATAGTGAGATATGTATGTATATCGATTTTTCTTGGATCCGGTGCAAATCTGTTAGCTGGACAGCACTAAAGATGTGCTGTGTTGATTCTGTTTTGCTTGTTTTCTTCAAGGTTGGGTGGCAGATGGTGGTAGGTTTGTGCAGCTTGGAGCAGTTTGACAGGTTGTTTTTGGGAAAAAAAAGCTTTGGCGGCGAAAGAGAGCCCGACAACATGGCCAGAGTCCCTCCTAATCAGCAAATAAACCTGGTGGTACGTCCTAGCAATCTCCAGCATCCAAAAAAACATCGCCGTTGCGTGGCCGTTGCAACGCGCGGAGGTTCCGGATCATCACGAGCATCTTCATCGTTGCGGTGCACGTGAAGGATCATTATTCGTTTCCAGATCTGAAGGATGACAGTGACAACAGGATCTACAACTACGTCATCTCTGCGGTCGAGGCAGGCGGCGGCATGGACATGGACGGTGTCTCCAGAACGATCGACATGTTCCCAACACTGACCCAAAACGCTAAGGCCCATAACTTGGTTTTGTTTGGGGTGATGTTTATTTCATCAATGGTGTGACCCCTGTCCACACTGTGACCCCTCTCCACGCTGCGTGGTGCGGGATTTCAGAAGTTCATAGATTGTCGGTCTTCAATGTTGAAGAATTGTGGTGGTAGTAGTAGTAGTAGTAGTAGTAGTAGTCGTAGTCGTAGTAGTAACGTAGTAGTAGTAACGTAGTAGTAGTAACGTAGTAGTAGTAGTAGTAACGTAGTAGTAGTAATGTAGTAGTAGTAACGTAGTAGTAGTAAAGTAGTAGTAGTAGTAGTAGTAGTAGTAGTAAAGTAGTAGTAGTAGTAGGAGGAGGAGGAGGAGGAGCAGGAGTAGCAGTAGCAGTAGCAGCAGCAGCAGCAGCAGTAGCAGTAGCAGTAGCAGTAGCAGCAGCAGTAGCAGTAGCAGTAGCAGCAGTAGGAGTAGTAGTCTTTGTCTTTGTCTTTATTGTTGTTGCTCTTTTTGTGTTTGGATCCCTGGCATGTCTATGATGGGCTCTTCCACCGGACTCTTCCACCCCTCCCGTTCTTTATGTCCCAGGTTTCAATCCGCTCAAATGGCCCTGCACCACCACCGTCAGAGGGGCCGAATCGCCCGAGGCCACACCAGTGAACTCTCTCGCTGTGATGCTGCTGGTGTCCTGGCTGGTTGAGGAGCTTTGCCCCAACACTCCATGTATGGATGTATGGAGTGTTTGCCTTCCTTTGGGTGGTTTCAGAGGTCAATGTACACATATACTTGAGACATGAGACATGTTCCAGACACTGAGTGTTTTCAATATATTTACAATATTGCGGAGCTGCCATTCATCTCCCTCAAGCTTTGGATTCACCATTTACGGAAACTGGGCTGTGTCATGTTGCTCCCCAGTCTACGTTTTTTGGAAGTCTTCTTCTAGTGGATTTGTGGTTTGGATGGTTTTTGACTCAAACCGCACTGAACTTCGCACAGGTTCTCTTGGAACTCCGGCACTTGGATGCCATCGGTAGCGCCCGTTTGGCTGTTTCGGGGCCGCTCTCTTACCTGCGAGAGCTCACCAAGCACCTGCTGCGACGATGGGTCTTGATCATGTCCATCGTGCCTGGGCGTCCATGTGGAGACGATTGTCCAGTTACTGCCTTCGGACATCCAGCAATATTGGTCACCATTGAGCTTATGCCGGCAGAGAGACCCCGCAAAAGACAGAGCATTGCAGGACCGCATGTAGCGTACCCAACCAGAAGCCTCGTTAGCCACCAACCGCAGCATTGCAACAGGTTTACGGAACCGTGAGGATGCTGGCTGTTGGCAATAACCAGCAGCCAGCGTACTGTGTTGGTCAATTGATTTCAATTGATTTTTCTGGCATGGGTGTCTCAAAATGAACCCCTACTCAACAAGAAGAAGCGCTCGGCCAGCACATTCAACTCCCTTATTGAGAGCAGAGTGTGGGAGGTTCGCCAAAAGAACTGCAATTGCCTTTTTTCAAAGGGTTGTACACCATCAATCCCAGCTTTCTTCGTCCAAAGGTGAAAGCGAAATCGCTTTCAGACTATGGCAATGGGGATTACTTTTCGGAATGGCCTCCAGGATGAGGGTTGACAGGGCATACCCAGGCTGAAACAATACCCACTGCATCCCAGCGGTTTGAGTTGTTCGTCCTTAAAGCCAAGCAAACTGAAGCAGTCACAGCTTCCACCAAACTGGAGAAGCACATCAGCAGTAGTGCTGGACAGGAGTGACCTGTAGTTTGAGTCTCTCCTGGTGCCCAAAGTTTAGAGAACCCATACTTGATCATATTTGATATTTGTATATATTTGTGGTGTTTGTGCTGCCGCGCCACCAACAGCGAGAAGGACAGCTGCAACACCCGCAAGTGCCATCAAAGTGTTTCTTCGTCAGGTTGGCATTTGGCTCTACTTCTACATCGCAGTCTTCATACAGGAAGTTGAAATCCCAAACATAGGCCCGGCGTTCAGGAAGACAGCTTGTATGTGTTCCTTGACCGCTTCTTCAGCGCACCATCGAATCAGACAGATTTGATATCGGAATCGATTTCTCCAATGGCACTTCAACCGGACGATCTCTCTTCTGAAATCTCCTGAAATCCTCCGGGTTTGCAGAACACAAAAGGGAGACTGCGAGGTCGCAAGTAGCAGGTCCTCCGAGATCTTCAGTGATGTACTATAGTACAACAACGTTGCCGATTGACTGATGGTTTCGAAGAACCTTCCTTTTCAACATTCGCGTGTCTTTTGTGTAAATAGGATCATAGGTATTAGGTACCCCTGTCTTTCGACTTGTTGTTTCGGCTTCCTATTCCCCCGTTGAAATCCCTTTCACACATGGAAAAAACTGGGCAAACCTCGCCCAGTTGCCCACCCACCACGCAGCGAAGAGCAACAGTTTTTGCCTCGTGTTTTCGCTCTTTGAACGGTGTTTGATTTTGGTGCAGAACAAGAAGCTACAAGTAACAAGGGCATTACTACTAGTAGCAAGGACGCTACTAGTAGCTCCTGGCATTACTACTAGGAACAAGAAGCTACTATGTTACTAGTTTGTTTTTGGTGCTGCGCGACACGCCAGGAAAGAGCAAGTTTTTGTACATTTGGTTCTGGCGCAATCGACTGGAACTCAGCCGGGATCAACCTTTGAGAAGTGGATCCAAAAAAAGTAAGTTCAGTAAGTTTTCCATAAGTTGTGCACCCTGCAACTGGACTCTCCGTTGGCGGAGAAGCATTGATCGCTTGATCGCAGAGTGGGGTATGTTCAGGTCAAACTCACGAGCAAGTTCTGAGATGTCGGCCTCCAACCCAATCATCATCCACTAAAACCGAGCTCGCTTCGTTGTACCCATGGCCCAGCTGCAAAACACCACCATGGAGCCCTTCGCTCCGCGTTCACTTCCGCCGTGCCTCGGGAGCTGGAGCCGGCCCCCGAGGCTCCGTAGGATTGGACCCTCGGGGAGACCCCTCTCACATCCCAAAAGAGATGACACCCATTCAAGTACATCCAAGTGCGTTCTTGTTGGGATCCCCAGCTTTAGACGACGGAGTCCAGAAGGTCTTGGAAAAGCCATGTGTTCTTTCCTTCTTTGGAGTCCAACGGAGTACAACAGGCCTAGACAACTACTGGAAAGTCCCGACGTGGCAATCATCAAATGCCAAAAGTATTGACAGTTAAGTGCATGCCCAATTTTGAAGCTGTTTCTTTCGAGAATAGATATTATATAATTATATATATAGTGTTTATATCAATAAATATGCATAAAACACTGTAAATACCAGTATATTTGATGAAATGGTGTGTTTTTTTTTTTGGGGGGGGGGGGGTACCATATAATATATATTATACACACAATATAGCTAATACATAGCATTATAAAAATTAATACTTACTAGTTCAAGGCTTCAAGCTTCATGACATCTTCCACACAGGGGCTCTTCCCCGGTTCGAGCCGCCCGTCTCAGGCATCTCCTGCCAGCGTCCAGTGCATTTGCTTCCCACCGTGCTCTTGCTTCACGAGGTCCAAGCTTCACGAGCGCTTTCACTCGCTTCGGGAAAAACCGGAGGTTCGAGGCGACGGCTGAGGTAAAACTCGATGTGGACATCCAGCAGAGGTGAATGACCCCTATAGCCCTATAGACATCTATATTATAGACTATGTGACCGTCCCATAAGTATACCCCAGTAGGGTCCTAACAAGGTCAATTAACCTCTCTTGGGTCATGTTCTTTTTTTTTGGCGTGGATGGTTGCAGAAATTCCACCCAAATCCAGGGAATTCTTGTGGTGATGCGCTTCTTTTCTGCGACGTTTTTGTCCACTTGCAAACATCCTATGCCCCGAGCCGGTAGTCGTCCTTTGACCTTTGACATTGACTTATTTGATGTAATACCTGAGGAGAATCCGAAGTCAAGTCGCAAAATCTTTTGGCTTCGCAAAACCCTATTTTCACATCCTTGAGATCTGTCACAGAGTAGTCTGCGACTGCTGTACCCTGTACCCTTGTACCCTGTGGATAGGGTCAAAACCCTATTTCACCCTTGCATGTGGAGTAGGAGGAGTAGTCTGAGACGGCCAAAGTGGCTATGCTTGGACGAGCTTGTCCACGGGATGTCCAACATCCATCAACAATTGTTGTTCCCCTTGGATTTGCAATACACACATTCTCTAGTCGGTTGGTAACATTTGGTAACTTCTTGTTGGACCCTCTTTGTGATGTGCTATGATGCGCTTTCGTCTTCTTTGCCATGTTCTTGCCTTTCCTGCTTATCTTCCCTTTCACAATCCCGAACTCCTCCACATTGTTGCAAAGTAGTCCTGCGCTTGGAGTTGTTGAAAGCCTTCGACTGTCTTCCCTTCGATCTTTCTTTTCTCACCATTGGCTCTTTTCGTACACAGAAACAAGAAGCAGAAAACGAAGCAAAGTCTTTGAGCATGATTTCTCTCCATGCCACTGCTGTGTGACCACAAATCACTCTGTTGACCCATCGGTCGCCGGTCGCCTTCCCTCGGACGGACCGTGTCCGACGGTGCCGTTCCCCGAGACAACCACCGAGACGACGGTCCTTTCGACATGACCGGGGAATCTGGGTTGCTTTTTTGTGAGAGTGAGAGTGGCATGTTCTCGACCTGTCCAACTTCAACGATTCGGCTGCAAATGAAGCCTAGATGATTGTGCATATAAGTGGCATAAACAACATGTCCAACGATTCAAGTGAGGCTGTTTGAAGCCTAGATGATTGTATATACAGTATACAGTGAGGGATAGACACTTAGAACCTCACCTTTGTTTACGGGGGAACAATGTAACAATAAAGTTGGTGGGTGATGTTCCAAGTATGACCTCCGAACTACACTTACTTGTAGAACATACAAAACCTTGAGATTATCCAAATATTGGCATACTAGTGGTTGGTTGAGGAGAATGGTAAAGGACGCATATACACACAACTGATGTTCTGAGTATGCTGTTTATTAAGGTCTTTCGTTATGCGCGACGGGCTGTAGAGATGTTGCAGGATAGAATGACGAACGGCTGACTTGATGTAGCAAACATGCGGGATTCGATCAACGTCCGACTTTCTAGGGCTAAGTAGGACAGACGATGTTCTTTCTGTACGAAACCTTGAGGACAGAAAGGATGTTCTGTGTGCTGTTCCAAGTGTGTGTTGTTTGGATGTTCTAAGTTCTTTCTGTGTCACCAAAACACAACTTGAAGCCAGGAGATGTTCGACTAGTGTTTGTTCGTCACTATAGCTCTTCAAACTGGCTGAATAAGCAGCAGACGGCTCGGAGGTGCTTCTACAGCTGACCTTGGTTGGCATTAATATGCTCCTAGTAGCGCCCTTGTTCCTAGTAGTAAGGCCAGGAGCCCCGAACGTAGCTTCCTCCTTGTAGCGATGCCCTTTGCTCCTAGTAACTAGTTAGTAGCGTCCTTGCCCCATAAATGCTGGAACATTTGTGTCGTTTCAGCTGTTGGATCGAGAAATCACGTGGAAGCTGTGTTATCCCCCAAGATGGGCTCAATTGACCTGGAAACTGCTTCTCCAGACCGGACATTCACTGAAAAGACGTCGCCACGCGGAGACCTCGCGAAAAGAACAGGCAGCGCATGCCTATGAGACGCCGTGCCACAACTTGAACATTTTCGAGGCCTGTTTTCAAGTGGACGTGCGGGGGGCCTAGATATACCTAGCTGCATGCAGCCATCTGAAGAGCAAACGGTGCACTCGCGTCATGGTGATTCGCCGGCCATGTCCTTGTTCGAATGGAAGGGAATGGCCCGTCTTTGTTGTTTTGTTGCTATGTTGTTTTCCAATGTTGTGGGGGTCGCTTGTCATCATCTCGTTTGAAGGATTATCATTTGTTTTCCAATGTTGCGGGGGCAATTCCTTGTCATCATCTCGTTTGAAGGATGCTGGTATTGGCAGTACTGTGGACGCCGCCCCTCATGAGGGCCACGGTCATGAGGGCGGCGTCCACAGGGACCACGCAGTTTTCAAACGAAGCGTCTCCGCCTAGGCATTTTGGCCTCATAAAGGGAGTAAAACGCCTGACATTGACCATGAATTCCAGTGGAATCACAGCGTGGAATCACAGCGTGGAATCACAGCGTGGAGTCACCCCAGGATGATTAGACATCTGGAGCATTTCAAGAAGAACAAGTGATTGAGGTTGAGTTCTTTTTGTCCGAGTCACATGGTCCCAGTGGCCACGTCGCGTGAGCTTCATGGCCGTCCTTTGGGTTCTGACCGTGGGACTCTGGTGTGGAGAGGCCAGCGTCGACTCAGCGGATTGGTCGGTCCCAAATGGGTCGGTTCACCATCCGCCCCCCGAAACGCGCGTCGACTCAGCGGTGGACAGCGTGAAATGGGCGGGAAATGGAGGACTCAAGCGTTTTCTCTCAAGAGGTTTGGACATCACAGCCGGGTTGCTTGTGAGGATGCGGAGTTTCAGCAAAACAAAATAGACTAGACGTTTGACATCATTCATTACGTAGAAATACCAGCGGATCGGATAGCAAAGCTCTGTTATGAAAATTTGCACTGAAGCCAGGTATGATTGGGGAACAAGATTAAACAAGGAACCGGCAGTCAAGCAAGATTATGATATTCATAATGATCATAATGACATTCCTTGGAACTGACCTCATATTCATCCAGCACCAAGACAAAAAACTCCGCCAAAAAGCTCCAGCCGGAGGCCTACCGCATTGCCGTGTTCAACTATCCTTCGATGGGTGGTTCAGGTGTAGGAGATTGTGGTGATGAGACGGTGAACCTCAGGAGCATCGTGCACAACTCGCTGGTCAGTACAGGTGCGCCATGGTGCGCCGTTCTGATTTCTTGTGTCACGACCCTGGGAGGTCCAGAGTTGGGGATATTTTTTTTCAGTATGCAATGTGAATTGAGTAGTAACAAGTGCCTTACTAGTAGTAACAATGCTTGCTATTAATTTAAGTTAATCTCGATTTATGTGAAGAAGTGGACAACACATATCTCATTGGTCACATCATATGATCATGACAGAGATGGTCAACGCGAGCCAGTCTTGATTTCTACATCATTCCAAAGAACCAAACAACTTGGTGCCCTTTGCCGGCCAAGCAACTGTCCACATCAGGTGCTGAAATCGAGGAAAGTCTCTTGTTTGCACTGGTTGTTATTTGAGACGGGACTCACTCAGGTGACTGAGCAAGAGAACTCAGAATCCATGCGCGGACTGGCCATGAAATAGGAACAAAGAGGGTGTGCATCGGAGGGTAAACCCCTCCAAACAGGATCTTCATCAGCCAGTTTGGCGCCAAGTCATTTTACTTGGCAGGTATCACAAGCTTTTCCCAAAGCGGCTTTGATAGCCTCCTTTATGCGTGCAACGTCTTCATCATGCCGGAGATGGAGAGTTCCAGTCCAGATCCGGCAGACACGAGCTTCTTTCCGGCATCCGCCCAAGTGAGCTTGCTTCAGTGGGTGGAAGCGGGTGGGATGCTGATCTCGTTCTATGGAGGAAGCAAGACGGACACCTTCTTGAATTTGATCTTGGAGCCTCGGAGTTCTGGGCGATTTTTTTTTGTGCGTTCGTCGTTCTCGAAGCTGAAGCTGAAGCTGTGACGTACTAGGAAAAATTGTGATGTTTGGTTATAAGTGGTATAAACGTTCTTGGAAGGTGTGAATGCAATGAATGCTATACAAAATTGTACAAACAGATTCGGATTGATTGGCTTGGTCTAATAAGGAAACTTCCATGATCTCGACTTGTTTTCAGGCAAGTCGACACATCGATACTGTCAACTCTGACCTGATGCACATTCTTTTCCGCGGACCCCCCCAACCCATGGGATCCAAGGGTTCAGATAGTCCACAATTATCCACAAGTTCAGTCACCTCGAAGGGCACGGATTTTGCCCGTCCTTCTTCTTCGTCTTCTCCGTGGAGTAACACCGGCCAGTACACCTTTGGGAGCACCGTGGCCAGCAGCCTGGCAAGTCCCAGTGCGACCAGCAGCTGGGACCTCAGCACCAGTGGGGCCAGTCCCATCTACGGAAACACGTCTGACGCCGTAGTCTTTCGCTACAGTCGGGTCAGTGGCGTGGTCTGGGGCCTTGGTTGGGATTTCTATGATTCAGGCCGGAGGGAGGATGGACCATTTAGGTGGGGCCGGGCCAAAACGGTTGGCCGGGAAGACGAAACAAGAGAAGAAACAGTTCACAGGAAAGCTATGCTAACTGTACATGGCTGTCCCAGCTATACCGAGCTCGATTCAGAGCTCTGAAGTCAAGAGTGAGAGTCGATTGGCGATGTCGGTGGTTCTGTTTTGGGTACGCATGGAATTTAAAACATCTTGTTTTTTTTGGGTGAATTCAATTGAGCATCAGGCAAAAGTGTTCATGTAAGAGTCTACTCTTCGAGGGTTATATATAGTTAATAATATATTCTTCACATTATGTCCGCCGGGTTACTCTTCATATGCCTGCCAAAAGAACTCTCCATGAGAACCGGAGACAGAGAGCAACATACTTTGCCAGCTTGCGGTTTCAGCCGCTTTCTACATGTCGGGATCTTCAAAGAACAAAATACAGTGCACCACATGGTCACTAGAATTGTGACAAGATTAACTAGCATATATATATATATGCGTGTGTGTATATATATGTAAGGTTAATGGTTAATATATATATATATGTGTGCACTCAATGGTAAACGCTGATACACATAATTACTGGTTGTTGCTGATTCGTATGGTAGTGGATATTTCTTACCCCGGGAATTGTTTGTTTGTTTTGGGACTCCGACGGAGACTGATGACCAACACCAAGCGCAGGGGCGACTCCACGAACGCGCCAGGCTCAGCAAAAGACTTTGGGACTGAAGGGAGCCACCCTGATTGTACAGCAAAGGACAATGACTTTGTTACTGTGTTCACCACTGTTCTCCATGATTTTTCATCGAGTGCTGTGACCATAGTTTCAACAACAAGCATCACAACCCTAACGACGACAACACTCACCACTTTAACCAGTACTAGCACCCGTTCTGGCACTACAAGCACCAGTTCCAGTACGAGTAGCAGTACTACAAGTAGCAAGACTACGAGCAGCAGTACTACAAGTAGCACCACTACGAGCAGCAGTACTACAAGCAGCACCACTACGAGTAGCAGTACTACAAGCAGCAGTACCACGAGCAGCAGCACGAGCTCCAGGTCCACCAGTTCAACTTCGACTAGTACCACCACAAGCACCAGCAGCAGTTCCACCACTAGTTCAAGTTCAAGCAGCACCACAACTTCCAGCACCAGCACAAGTTCCATCAGCAGTTCAAGCACGAGTAGCACTTCCACAAGCAGCTCAACAAGCTTCAGCACCAGCACAAGTAGTAGCACGAGCACTAGCACCAGTTCAACTACCACCAGTTCTACGACCAGCACCAGCACACTGTCCAGCAGTAGCACTACAAGCACAAGCTCAGATACTAGCAGCAGCTCATCCACCTCAACTACCAGCACAAGCACAAGCTCTAGCAGTACTAGCACAAGCTCAAGCACAAGTAGCCATACAAGTGCCACGAGCTCAAGCACCAGCTGGACCACACTCACCAGAAGCAGTAGTTCCACCACAAGCTCCAGCAGTTCCTGGCCGCAACTGCAAGTTTTCAATTTCAGTCCGACTGATGGATCTTGGAACTTGTACCCGAATCCTCCAACATCCTCCAACTACTCAGACCATCTCAGACCAGTAAAACCCAGGATCCAATAGTGCCTTCTCAGGAGCTTGTTGGAGCGGCTGAGCACTAAATCTATGGTTTAAACATCCATCGAGTTGAACTCAGCACTGGAAAAACAAACCGCTTTCTAACTTCAGGCTGGTTCTAAGACATCTATAGATAACAAAATGTTGAAACTCCTCCAGAAGAATCAACAAAGGAGTCATTTTGCATCAAAGTTGCACAAGTTGATGTGTGTGTGTGCCAAGATTTTAGGCCAGGGGAGATCTTCAAATCTGTGGCGGGATCCAAGTGTTGCCAGGTTCAAGCTCCAGCACCAGCAGCACTATGTCGACCTCGGAAGCCAAGCCCATCAGTGCTGCTCAGCTAGAAGAGATGGAAGCTCAACGGAAAGAAGAAGCCGCTGCAGCGGTTCAAAAGGTACCTTGGTTGCCATGTTCCAAAACGATCGATCCGAGAAGGTCGGAACATGTACACCGTCACTCCGCATCTACACCTCCCACCTCGGTATGCCGGAGTCCAAGAGGTCTTTAAGTGACCGGATTTTTAGGAAATTCCTTTACGAGTCTTTACGTCAGTCGTGCCAAAGATCGTCGAACTGGACTTCATAGGGTATGTGGGAATCCCGTCCTGATCCCGTCCTCAGGATTCCATCCCCCCAACAAAACCAGGCGGACCTCCCAAAAGCATGAAACACTGCTTTGGATTCTTTTTGGCGACCAACCGGCCTCCAACCCATCAGTGAAAAGAATAGTATCAACTATATGTCCTGTTTGGGTTAGAATTTGCATCAATGGGGAGGACCACATTGTCATATGAGTCATAATATGTCATAATGCTTGGCAGATCTTGACTGGCCCCCCAACAGGTGGAGGCTGCTGAAGAGGCTGCAGTTGCCTCTGCTCTCAACCAGCTCTTTGACCAACCCCGTGATCCTAGTGCGCCACCGGGCATGCTGGGAGCGACGACCGTGAAGACTGAGACAGGACCCGTGAAGGTCGCGGCGTTCTCACCGGAGGCATTGGCTAGAGCTGGGGGTGTGGCGCGTGTGGGATCTGGCAGGAATGGAGAAGCTCAGGACCTGCAAAGGTTGCCACTGTTGTTTTTTTTGAGACATCAAGTTCGTAGGTCGATCGAAGAAATTCCCTCTTTTGACAGGGTCATTCGGCTAGTAAGGAAGAGTCAGCAGCGGAGCTGGAGGTGAGTTCTGACCTCTTGGCAGAAGCAGCTGCCTCCTCTGGCATCAGTGGTCCTATCCTGCTGAGTATGGGAAGCTTGAACGATCAAGCCGTAGCAAACCTGAAGACAGATCATCCCTTAGCCCAAGGACGGCGCTTGGCTTCTGCTTTGAAATCGCAAGCTGCGACTTTGGACATTTTGGGATTCAGGATGTGGAGTGATAGTCTTTCTGTTGCCTCAGTTTGCAAGATGAATTCTGTGAAAGTTTCTCCAGCATTGTGCATGTTCTCCTTGTAATCATCAAATTGGCTTCATTTGTCTTCCAAATCTGAGGTGAGCATCAACTTTCGTGATGAGACTGGGAAGAAGATCTCGGTGAAAAATCTTCAAACGCCCATGAAAATCATCCTCAAGGTCCAAGATGCTAGTGCGCGCTGCGCCTATTGGGATGAAGTGAACAGCCAGTGGTCCGAAGAGGGAGTCACCACTTCAGATGAGGTCGCTCCGGAGTCTTCCATCATTTGCCTGACCACTCATCTCTCCCTCTTTGGAGGTGTTGTTAACGCTGTGGTGAGCCTCGGACCCCTGAGTTTGGCACCTTTTTGAGGGGGGGTTCGGACGTTTGTGTGACGTGTTCCGACCACACTCCGTATGGTTTCTACAGCTCTACGTCATTAGCATGTCCTATAGCCGCCATTACAACTTATTAACTTATTATATTATTGGAACTACAGTACGAGTGGAAGTCGTCCTGTACCCTGCTTCGCACTCCAAATGATAAACTAGATGAGTCGCTTTGCTGTTGTGGGAGAAGCCGTTGGGCCATGCAACAAAGGTTTTGGTGGCGAAAACACCTTTCTCAAGTGTTGTTTGCAGTTTGTGTTTTTTTGGTTTCGAAGCTGTTGCAAAGCTAGTTGTAGTCAAAAGATGTCAAAAGACATGTACCCTCGTGAGTCTCAAGGATGGTTTAGCAAGTTTAGCATGAGGCCATGACCAAAACAGCTTATTACGGTCCATTCCTTTTCTTTCTAGACCATGCATGTCGCTGCGAGGAGAAACGTTGCCCTCGCCCTCGAGTGCAGCACCCTATCAAGTGTCATGGATGACGCCGCCTTTCAGAAGCTCTTTGATGGGGAATGGCTTGCGAAACCGCAATCAGTCGTCAGCATCTTGTCACATTCGTCAACATGAAAGCGCTTCCAACAGTTGATCTCAGGATGTTGCTACCTACCTTCAGAGGATTGGAGAACATGCCATCCTTTCTTAGATGATTTTCCCAACAACATCTCCTTTGTTCGGCCCAAAGGCCCGTGACCTTTGTCATCACGTGAGGGATGTTTTTGGGGATTTGAAGCAAGGCATCCTCTTTATGATCATTTCTATCGCGTCCGTCCTGGTTGCTTTGAGGCAGGGGGCGGTGGCCGGAAACAATTCGCGTCGGATAGGGTAGGGTGGTTTGGTGGTGCAGGAGCCGTGTGGTGAAGGAGCAGCGAAGCAAGTGAAAGTGGTGCAATATGAGCGGTAGACAAGGCAAAAGATGTGCCAATATGTGCCAATCATGATCCATTGATCTTCGATGATCTTCGTTTGATTGAAGCAATCGAGTTTTGTGAGGCTTCTCAATGGTTCTCAACTCCCCAAAGGATAGGCATGGCAAAAGCACCAAGCCGATGTCGGTTCAGTGGTGTGCACTGAACCGAGGTTGGGAATTTGGGATCTGTCCGTTTTGTCAAGTAAAAATCGAGAGAAGACATCACCAAATTGATCTACGATATGAAGCTACTCCCATCCCTTCGTGTTTTTTGTTTTTTTATCACTTCACTCTATATAGTCATCTCTATAGTCCTAAGCCTCGTGCCTTTCGAACAGGTGTGACCACCAATCAGAGCAGCTCCTACCCTCACAAGACCGAGAAGAGATGCTGATGCGTGCCTTGGGCCGCGGAGCGATGCGGGAGCCGTGCGGAGCGTTTGGACCGGATCGGGGGCAGAGACAGGCAGATCGGAAGCGATTTGATTCGCCCAAGACCTCACCAGAATTTTCGATCTCACGAGGTTTCTGTCGCCAGAAGCTGCTAGCTAGCTAGCTCTTGGCGCAATTTCTTGCAGTGGAAAAGCCTGCACTGAACTGAACTAGAGCAAGTCGATCTGATTTGGATGGGAATTGTTTGGACAAAAGTAAGGGAACATGCTAGGTTATCCCGGATTGCGCAGATCGGCACGTTTTTTGCGCTTTATCATGGGAAAAGTCGGCCGCAAATCCCAAAAGAGAAAGGATCACCTACCCAATCTGTGGATAGCCTTCCCAATCCTTTTTGGTGGGATTGGTTTCCCCACCCAACATTGGCCCAACTTGAACAGTTCCATGTATACCTTGATCTTCCCAGACACACAGGCGAAAATCTCGCGTGCGAGCGACGATTCTCGACCTCACAGGAGGTTGAGTCGTGTTTGGACCGGTTTTGGCCAGGTGTGAAAGCAGGGCAGAGCGAGGAGGCGGTCCGTCCGCCACGGTGTGGGGCGAACGCAGATGGAAATGGGCCGCTGAGTCCGGTCTCAAAACTCCTCAAAAACAGAGGCCTCCAGTCACGAAAAGGAAGGGCACAAAACTGGTGGGATGGTTTCAATCATCAACTAACTAATCTTCAACCTGGCGGTATGATTATTGTTTTTCTCCTACTCCTATATAAATATATGTTCTATAGGTTCATTGTTCTCCTACTCATAGGTTCAGCCAGACGAAACATGAGATCGATCAGGGGCTAAGGCGTGACTCCAAGCTTAAGGCTTAAGGCGTCGGCCGTATGTTGAGTGAAGTCTCGCCGCGTGAGTCGAATCAGCTCAGCTTTTACGATCAAAAGCTGCTGAGCTCGAGAACAAGTCGTGTCAGCCTACTGTCTCCGTTCGCTCGCGGGTTCTGGTCCCACAGAATCGGCTTCGGAAGGACACAGAGGAAGAAGGCAGAAGAGTCGAGAGTCGGGTGCGTCGACTCCCGACATCGTGTCGTAGCTTCAATAGAATTGATAAGGCTTTGCCAACATACATCAACATGCTGACTAGGATTTCAGTCAGTCGGGCCCTCAGCAGGAGGGTCATCATCCCTCGAGCCAAGTGAAATGGAAGCGGTTCTGCCGCACTGCGTTTTTCTGCATGTCAGGAGGAAGCAGGAGCCGAACCTGAAGCAAGCTTGCAGCAGACGCTCTTTCAGCAGGTACCTGGTGGGATGGAGAGGATGTTGAGATGTCCACCTCTGGGAATGAGTGTCTTTCTTATAGTCAAAACAAACATGAATGACATTGAGACGGATTTTGTGACAACAAGTGATGCCGTAAAGTCTCCAAGGGTTCAGCACATGTTTTGAAAACAGTTCCTATGCTTTTCGGGGGGATCAACCAGAAAGGAGGAATCCCAGGAAGCCCAAACCCTTTCAGTGCCTAAACCCCTTCTGCGCAGGTCCGATCTGCTGCAGAGCAAGTTTTGGATTTCCTGGCACAAGCAAGTGGAGGGAATGGCTTCTTAGAGGCTCGGGACGTGAAGTCCTGCGGTGCTTCTTCTAATTGAACCTCAGACCAGGAGTCCCATGGAGTGTGGGGTGGTTGTTGAGTCCCATCCAGTGAGTGGATGTGACAGGGGCACCCCGACTTCCTCCGTTCGTTCGGCACAGTCGTCTTGTGACTCCTGGGAGATGCCTTTCTGACTCCGTCCTAAGAATCCGTAAGGGGCTCAGATCTTAGGGCTCCACAAGAAAAAAGAACGATCCTTCGCATTGATTCGGTGCCGGATTCTTCCGGTGTCATCACCTTTTGGATGCCTGCAGGTTTTGGTTGTCTCCGTTTGGAGCCCAACACCCCGGTCTGACAGTAAGTCATAGAAGACCCTGTAGCCATTTGTAGACCAATTGGTCACAGCCCAGACATGGCAGGCAACCAGACGAAACAAGGGATTGTTTGCCTACAAGAAACTCTGTTCTATCAATTTTGGGGCCTTTGTAAATGCGTGTCTTGGAGATTCGACCCCCCTCTCAAACCATTGTACACTAGCTGGTTGGAATGAATTCAATTCACACCGAAACATCGGATGTTGACTGAAATGATCCACACTCTGACTCACTAACATGGAGGTGTACAAACAGGCAGTTTTCGTCCCAGTGTACCTCAACCAGACCATGGGGTACTTACTCCAGAGCCAGATCCATCAGTGTACCTTGCTCATCGTCTTGTCGACGATGAGGCGGTGAAGGAGGGCGTGGCCAATGCGCAGACGGCCGCTGTGAACCGTGGGCTCAGTACTCTTCAAGCCTTCAGGCGACGAACAGGGCCAGACGTTTCGTGCGTGTGGGAGGCTTTTTCGGAGCGACGACGAGCTTGGCTAGATCTGTCAGCTCCAAGCTTGGCCGTTTCCGGGCCGTTCTTGGGAATATAGGGCCAGATCTGTGTGCTAAGCTCAAATGTGTTCCTTGTACACAGTTCAGGGCTGACTTTGGGGCATAGTTGAGAACAAGGGCGTAGCCCAGGGCCCAGGGGGTACTAAGAACCACTCAGAGCCCCGATGAGGTTCGGAGAACCGATTGGGTTCCCAGAACCTGTGTTGGCCCTTCGCAGAACCCTTGTTCAAGGTTCTAAGCACCACCTCCTGGTTCGCAGAAGGTCTTAGAACCGAATGGGGGTAATGTCGGATAAATTCGACTACTACTACTACTACTACCACCACTACTACTACTACTCCTTGTGGTTGTAGAGATTCTACTCAGACTCCCTCGGTTGTTTGCTAGAGGGTGCTTTTTTATTATAAGATCATTTAAGATCCAACATTACTCACAACCTTCCACAACTAGGCCCCTTCCAGCCGGTTCCCAAAATTGAAGCCCTATTAATCCTAAAACATTGCACATGTCCACCTCTTCGGCTTGGAACATCTCTTCAGAGGTGTATAGGATCCATCCGCAAGAGATAGATGGATCCAACTCGATGCGGTCATTCTTTCTTTGGGTTCGGTGTGAGGAGTCGGACGGACCAAGCCAGCATGAACATCGTCCATCTCCACGGCGAGAGCCAAAAGGATCCGCCCAGTGACGTTCAGTGACTTGGACGCACCAGTGACGCTCAATTACTTGGTCTTCAGGTCTTGAGACAAGGGCTCTTAGATAGAGACAAGGGCTCTTAGATAGATTTCTGATCTTTTTCAGATGGTGAAGATAGAGAAATTCATAAGATTGGCTCGAAGAAATACCTTCAAAAGGAATGTTTGATTACGCTTCTACCTCGTGGGTGTTTTTCCACCGGACGCATTTGTTTGAACCAGCCGAAAAGCCGAAAGATGAGAGACGTTTCTCTCAACAGTTCAACATGAGAGAGGGCTGGACGTTGATTTGAAGCAATCCTGTGAGTCGACTGCCGAGGCATGCAAATATGGCCATCCCCCGCCTAGATGCGCACAATATGGCCTCCAGGAGAGCGATCAATCGACGCGTTTGGACGTTCGAACGAAATGAAGCCAGACATGTCCAGGCTTTGCCAACTTGGCCCGCCACCAGAAGCAAGTCTTGGATTGCCAGAGGTGTGAAGCTGCTTGTTTGGGCCATTGAAACATGAAGATTCAACATTTCCATGGTCAAAACAACGTTTCTCAGGCTATGAAGTCATGCTTCCAACCATGAGTCATTTCTGGATGGTTGGTCCTTTATTATGCCAAGCAGCTGAAGCACTCAACTTGGAGATGCGGTGCAATGGCGATGTCAACTTAAGAAAAAATTGACCAACTTGTAATCCATTGTGTGATGTCTTCCAGGATAAACGTTGAGCTGCCCAACCATGTGTTCATTTTTGGGTTTATCTCAGAATGCTGATTCAACTATGTGTAGCCTTTACCCTTTGCAGTTTTAAGTGTCCCTCATGGCCCTTGACATGAGACACATCCTCGTGGTTTTATCAAGTGGCGAGTTCCAAACAAACATGGACGGGAGGAAGTGCAAACAATTGTTTTGACATGGCAAGAAAAATGCAAAGACAGTGTTTTGATTTATATAACAGGTTGGAGAAGGTTGATGTCAGGAGAGAATTGGCCAGATTCTGCTTAGACCCTCAACCCTAAACCCTGGTTCCGTTGGTTGGTATTGGCCGTTTCAGTGTGTACGTTTTCTTCCTCGTCTTCTTATTCTTATCAGTATGGACTTGCAAAGAGGCCCGTAATCCATCAGTCAATGAGATTTCACAAGGGGTTGATGCAGGATTATGTATGGTAGAAATGCCATACATGGATATACATGGATGTTCTGGGTAAGGAAACGTATGGTCGAACTGGATTTCCAAGGACTACAGCTCGGGGTGACTGCTTCCTCAGACCCTGCCGCCGATCGCGCAATCCGAGCAAATTTTTAGCTTGTGGCAATGGCCCTTTTTGGTCCAGCTTGAGTCTTGAGTCCCAGTCTTTTGGGCCTAGCTTGAACAAGAACCTCAAAACAACTTATAATCTGCATATAATTAGATATTTAATATGATTAATATATACCCTCCAATTCAGTGCTCTTTAAACTTGGTTCATTTCAACATGGAGACATGGAGAGATCGAACACTATTTTGTTTTTAGTAGAACCTAGTTTTACTTGGTCCCGTTAAAACATTAATAGTGTTCATTGTCTCCACGTGTATTTTGGTGGTAATCTGGATGGCAAGCGGCTAAGCCAAGAACTGCAGTAACTAGGGCTAGGAACCACTGGAGTCTTCCGCAGCTGTGCGCATTTTATCTGATGTTCCCTAAAATGTAGACATCAAAATTTTGTCAATGGGCCTCATTTGAACCCGAATCTTCGCCAATGTTGTTCTTATATCTATGCTTTACCCCATCCGGCGGTTGACTCAGTGTAGAGGGCAACAGTGAAGTGGACACCCTCACTCTTCAACGGGTAGCGAGCTCGAGAGGCACGCCCTTGCGCAGTAAAAATAATACTTGTAGGACTGATCAAAAAATGCAGAGCAATTTGATCGCAATTGATAACACTCCAGGGATGACATGGGATGACCACGCATGTGCATGCATGACTTCCTGGCTTCGTTTGTATGCTTCCGGATGCGGGAAGCCATTGAGCACCACCCAAAAGCCTGGAGACCGATCGTCGAAGATGAAGGTGCACAGGGCAAGTGTTTAAGCAGGGGTGGGCATGCAGTGGGGACAGGGTGCTTGGGCCAGGGAGTTTGATGGCAAGCGGCTAAGCCAAGAACCACCAAGCCTCGATGTCAGCTTGAAGGGATCAACCAGATGCCAGGGTCATCTTTCAAATAGGTTGGGCATTGAAGACCTTTAGTTGTCCCAAATCTCGATCAACTGTTGCAAACCCCGAACTTCTGGGACGGGAAAAACATTGGCCTTGAAGACCTTTCTGGTCCCATGATCACGAATCATGAGCATGATCCTCCACACTATCCTCCACCCATCGAAATCGATCGAGCAATGTCAGCTCCAAGGTCATGGATTTACAAGTGTTGGCCCCAAAACTGAAGACCTTTATGGTCTAACATGACCCTCTATCCACCCATCCCATTTGATCGGTGTCAGCTCCGAGGGATCATGGATTCAAGATGCTGTGCCCAAAGTCTGTTCGTTTCTGCATTAAGTTGGTGCAGCGCATGAACTCATCACTGACCCTTCCCAAAATTGATTCACTTAACACAGTTGAATCCCTCGTTAAAGGGGAATTCTGAGAAAGCAAACCTCCGGTTAGCATGAACCTTTGCCCAATAGACAGCCCCACATGGTTTCTGTGAACTCCAAAATTCAGATCTTAGAAGCTCTGTGAAAGGCAACCCGCCCACTTCTGATTCCATACCCAATTTTATGGCGCAGGTCTTTCACCCAAATCACAGACACTTCCCGAAATCGTTCACACGACCCACGGAGTCACGTGTCGAAGGGGGATCGATCGATGGATTTGACCTCGAATTGAGGGTTGTATCATCCTGTTTATCGGAAGTCGCTAGTACATCTTACTAAGCCGGTACGTTACCTCCTTGTGCGTGTGAAGATTTTGTAAGCATCACCAACTCCCGTATAAAATAAGCTTGTCACACGCCTTCAGAATTTCCCAAAGGAAATCCTTATGAGGCGTGTGACATGTCAGATATTATCAGCTTCCGTGCGCGTGCGTGGAGAAGCCCAGGAAACACACAATGTGCAGACACAACAGTTTGCCATGTCTGGTGCGTTGGAAGATGTTGCCTGGATCCCTGCGAGGTCAGCTGCCCAAGTGATCTGACTGCGCAATGCTGGAGCAGGGAACGGCAACACTATGAGCAGCATCGGGCAACGGACAGCCATGTGCCAGTGTCTTTGTATGGAGACGCACTTCGACTGACTGTTCTTTGCTCTTTGGTTTCATTGCATTTGAATGCCCTCAGGTTTGAATTCGAGGTTTATGCATTAATGTGTCCAGTGGAAGAGGTCTCACTGGTCTTTGGGATAAATTCGACTGATCTTTGCTCTTTGCCTTCACTGGGTTCGAGCGCCCTCAGGATTGAATTCCAGGTTCATGCATTGCTTCTCAGAGGGGGATGACATTGGCGTGATCAAGAGGCTCGGTGCGATTTCGGGCAGGAATATGGAAAAGTTCCTGGCCAAGATTGCAAGACTCCGCGTGAAGTGCGCAAAGGCACGCTTGTCCAGGACCGGTTGGTTCTCTCATTGTGCAGTGTGCGCAGGTTGGTTCTCTCATTGTGTAGTATCTACTTGTCAACTTGCCAGGAACTATCTGCACATAGGGGTTGAGTTGGATTGCAAGCGGCTAAGCCAAGAACAGCAGTAACATCACTAACAGGAATGCAGCACTTTCCCCTCAATTTCTCCTCGGCAATTCGCATGTGGTAGGATCGATGTGGACGTGGCGTGGCGATGATGACCATGCAAGGCTAGGCAGTTCTGACATCTTCTGAGTGCGACCAACTCCGTAAAGTTTGGCCTTTTTCGAAACTCGCAGGGCAAAAATTGTCAAGAATCCAAAAACACGTCACTCGGAGGTAACGTACCAAGTTCTACTGAGTCTTGTGTTTTTTGGACCTCTCACGACTGATTTTTGCGTCATGCTGGCAGGATCTACCTGGGCTCTCTGTGGTGACGCTGCTGTGGAAGAAACAAAAGAGCGCCTGCTCCGACAAACGCAAGGTTCAAGTTAAACTTGAAGTTCCTTTTCAAATAGCCTCGTTAAACCAGGACTTCGGACTTGCAGGGTATTTAGATATATTTTTAATATACTTCAAGTTTGAATCATACATATATATATATATACTACTTCTACAATAGATCGTTGGGATCCCTTCCTCACTTTTTTCGCTATTGTCTCCGCCGATCTCAACCATCGCAAGCGCGTTTGCACACCACCTGTCGGTTCGACCCACGCAGGAGCCTGGAGGCAGGGTGTTGCCAGCCCATCACCAAGTCGCCCAGCGGTTCCTCCTTCGGAAGCTCCGATCGGACCGGGGCGTTCAACACGTATTCGCCGTTTTTGGTTGGGACAGACAAAAGTACCAGGATGCCAGGGGCATGATGCCAAAAAAACACCGCTCGGACATCCAAGACATTAGGCATGTTGGAAGGGGCGCACATGTACCTGGGAAAAATTGTGTTTGCTTTTGCGTGGGTCCTTCTATAGTCATCCTGTATATAGTACTGGGCAGAGTTTGGGGAAACCACTGGGACACTGGTCATACTATCCGTCTCCAGGATGGTTGTCTGTATAGGTATATTTATAGTATAGTTGTATAGTTCACTCCTCGTTTTGTGGGTCTTGAAGGAGCTGTGAGGCTGACCAAGATGGTGACCTCAGCTTGGAATCCTTCGAGGATCTCTCAGCCAAGGAAATCGCGCTGGGAAACTCAGTGGGAATCGACAGGACAGCTATTCCATTGGACCATTTGGATATGTTTGGACAGGTGGAACTTGAAAACCACTGGTCTGTGGAGGAAACATGTTTCCCAGTCTGGGCCATTTGGGTCTCTTCCCGGGTGCATGGTGGTTTCTAAAGAAAACAGTTTGATTGTCGCACTGGTTGGAGTTCCCTTTTTTGACCTCCCTGGTTAGGGTGATGTCCGGTCCGTGCGGTCGACCGAGTTCGGTCGAGTTCGGTCCGACCTGTGTCGGATTAGGTTTGGGGAGTTCCAACGTTTGTCGTTCGGTTTCGGCCAAAACCACGTGTAGGGCGGCCAAGTCTATAGTTGGATAAACTGAGTTTTTTGGGGGGAAACGGGTTTTGAAGGAAGACAGGTTTTGAAAGGGATATCCATGGAAATCCATTGGCCAACTTGCTAGCCCAGGCTTCAAAGAGGGGAAGTACGAACCAGTACAAAAGCCAAGAACTGGCGTTCTAACATGTTCATATGTTCAAGATATGTAATGCATAAACAAATCAAAGAGATAGACCTTAGAGTCCTGACAGATTACTTATTCTGGAAGCGGTCTGACTTTCATCAGGTAATCACCTAGTCTAGTTTGCTAGCATGTCATCTTACCCGCCCCCAAAGTTTGTTTTCATAATTTAGGTTTTGCAAGTTGAGAGGTGGCAGCCGGAGACTTGCAAGAGTGTCCCTTTTGCAACCAGAAGTTCTTTCAACAATGTAGACTTCCGAACATTAACATACCAGATTGTACCCGTAGTCGTCCAGTTTTGAAAAGCCACCCTTTAACTCTGAACTCCTGGCAATCTCACTGCTGCTTCTTTTGCCGTTTGTCTCATCTTGGACTTGCGTTTTAAAACTGAACCATCAACAAACACCCCTCCCAGTGTCAGTGGAGTCTCCTGACCCAAACCAGTCCTCTACACACCGTCGTTGAAGGCCCCCGCGCCCCACGACTCTGCCGCCCTGCAGCAACCATCCTACGCCACCCACGCAGCGCGCGCCCAGCGCTTACAGCGAAATGGAAGTGGAGCCCATGCGGTTCAGCAGGACACTCATGTGAACAAGAATGGGACACAGTATAGGATGATGTAGGATGTATGGTCCCAAGCACAGCATGTACATGATCTTAATGGAATAGATACTTATACATTGGGGTTCTGTGGCAATATACGTATATATATATATATATGTAACTATCCTATATATGGATGGTCTGGGAATTGATTGATGACATATGTCAGGCTCATATTTCGGGCTCAAAGGATTCGCTGATTCCGGAGCCCTGGTGTCGGGGTGCTCATCAAGGTGTCCAAACAAGCGTCGTTAGTGTCCAAGACATCCCCACCGAACAGGTCCCATCCCATCCCGCATGGCGATCCGGACAGGACTTTTAGAAAAGAATCGTGTTGCGATCCCATCCCGCATGGGGATCCGTGTTGCGATTCCTTTGAAAGTCCTGTTTTGGAAGAAAGAAAACAGACAAGAAACATGATTTGATCGCAAAAACATGCAAAAAACAATTGCAGCAAATCACCTTGAATCTTTGGACATGAAGGGTTTTGTGATTTTTGTTGGCGTACTTTTGAGGATCACGTTTGTGTTTTGGTAGTTCGAGTATTTGGGCTACAAATTTGGACAAAGATGTGTTTTGTTTGTTGGGTTCTTGGAGTGGTGGAAGCTCGAGTCTTTCACCACACCAGACGGCATCGGCCACCGTTCCAGGGGATTTGCCTACCAAAAAGACTCGTAAAAGTCCTTCGAGCATGGCGACATGTGACGCAACAAAAACAGGAACTTCATGGATCTTCACGTGTACTTCTAGTACCATCGCTACTAGAAACACGTGTAGCCATTTTCCGAGTTATTTTGGAGAATCCCAGGTCTCTTCTCAGACTTCAACCACCAGCCTCGAAACCCGCCGCCCGCCGGTGGCTTTTTGCACGTCCGGCTGTTCGCAGGCCTCGGGCGAGCATCCAGGAAGGCTTTCGACAGATGCGGCAATCCATCCAGATGGTGATCCAGAATCTGACTCACGTCTCTCAGCATAACACAAATGTTCACGCGATGGCCTCCATCATGTGAACAAAAACATTGGATATGAATGATTGAGGATGTCACTGATGTCACATCCATGAAGTCCATCCTCATGTTTCGGAGTATTTCACTCGAAACTTATACACATCCTCGGCATGTGCTATGCATTCTTAGAGCAAGGACCCAACCTGACACTCGCTCCCCAGCCTTGACATGTCGACTGTCGCCGCCGTGACTCGGGACATTTGCGGATTTCTCTGGATGTTTTGCAGATATTTCCCTGGTCACCTTTGACAAAAACTGAGAGCATACCAGCGTGATCCAGCGTGGTTGGAGGATTCTGATGACCAAATCTGACTTGAGGACTGAACACGGTTCAAATGTTGTCAGGGACACTGTTGGTGGGTGGTTGCCAGGTGTAGCTCGCGTGGGACAAGTGTCAGACACCCTGGTTGGTCTTCATTGCTTCACGGGGGATCGACCCAAATGATTTCATCGTGGCGCTACACATTCTTGATATGCAGTGCCAAGAAACCTCCGCACAGGCCGATGCCTTGTATGAGAAGGTGAGCAAGGACAGACGAGGTGCTGCCCAAGAGTACCTTCAACGTGGCTGGCTCCGACGGGTTTTGCTGCTCCTACCGGCGGGCCATGCCTGGCTGAAGATTCAACGTTTCAGCATTGTGCTCCCCTACTCAGTGAGAGTGGCGCTGATTTGCATGAAGTTGATCAGCTGCGGCTTTCTGAGCCTCAACGTCACTTAATTAATTAAGTTGCTTGTTCTCTACACTAGCTCCAACGAGCACATGGAAGTGGAAGCTAGACATTGGGAGCACTAGGTCACTAGATTCCTCTACAAGCAGGTGGTGTCCACTTGCATGTTACCTTTTTCATCCTTTTTCCACTATCCGTGGTGCGCATTTGCTCCGGAATGCTCCGGATAGATCTGTTGGAATGCTGTTCAACCTAATTAATCAGATGTACACCCTTTGGAAGACATACCTCAAAGTTGTATTTTAACATATATATAATATAGTTAATATTAATATATATATATGTATATATTATTGTATAGATCTTAATATAAATAACAAAGCCCCCATAGCCGGGTCTTGGAAGATGCAGATCATCTTTTTGTCCCGCTCCTCCGGCTTTCTTCAGGAGCGCACTGTTCTTCGCTTCTGCCGCACCTGCACCTGACGCAGATCCAGACTGCGCTCCCCCCATCGGATGAGTTTGCAAAGCTGGTCCAAACGGCCACCGTTGGAATTGCCTCTTGGAATGGACTTGGGATGCAGGTAAGTCTCTGAGGTCGCGAGGGTCGTCACATGGTCCAGGCTTGTATTTTGGGAGATGTGTCCTCTCACGGTTTGTTCATCAAGTGAGAACCAACATGAACCCTGCAGTGTGGTTTGGAAATCCTTATGTAACTTTCCTTGCAGGGCTACATAGGGCCCGGGTACAATTGCTGTATGTTGCTACGTGCTGCTTGGCCTTCGGTAGGCTTGGAGGACGCACGTTTTCCTCACCATGAAACTACGTACATTATGCAACTCGTGCGGGCAAAATGTTCGAAGACTTTTAATGTTGCACGGACAACAGCAACTTGGAGAGTTTAGTCCAGTTTAAGACAGCCCTTGGGCGAAGACCGCATCGGGATACTGGGGTTTTCTGCTGCGTTTCCATCGAAAAAACATTCTCCTAGCAGCAAACGACATGGCAGGCCACTCATGTGTTTTCTACAAACTGAGGCCATGCCGATAGCATCCGATAGCGATACATCATGTTTTTTCTTTGAACTGCATCATACTGCATCGTTTGCAACGTGTTTATTTGTTGGGCCTGCGAGCCTCTTCAGACAGCACCTGCACCAGCTCAGATGCACAGCCCAACACTCCACAGTTGGGGAGAGGTTTGGAGTCGAGCGACACGAATTCCGGGGACACGAATTCCAAGAGAGTGGAATGAGGATGTTCTGTGCCTGGGTAATGGTCGGGAAATATGGAAGGTGCATGAACGGGAGAATCATGGAGAATCCAGTCGGCGACAGGTTTGGATTTCTTATCGCAAAGTCTGAGATACCCTAAGACCTAAGAATCCGGGCCCAAATCAATGGGAATCAGTTTGGTTCGGGTCCGGACTCCTGCAAAGAGGGAGAAGGTCCGACCCCTGCCATACAACTGACGCGATCGTCAGATTCGGGTCATCCGTCAATCCCTTGCTCAATTTCGGACACGATCCTTTGGCTTAGCTTCGAAATCCCCTTTACTCGTCCAGCAGCTTAATCAGGAGTCCTTGGAACGGAAGGTGGAGGTGAACAAAGGGAGCCTGTCGTGGGGTCCAACAGAGGTTTTTAGGTCCAACTGAGGTCTTGAATTTCAACTGAGGTCACGAGGTCCAAAACGAGGTGTTCATGTCCAATTGCATTTGAGGTCTCCGCAGTGTTGGGAGATGGTCTGATTCTGGTGCTCTTCTTCACGCGCAAGCTGCGAGTCGTAGAACGACCCCTTTGGACAGAAGAGATGAAAAGCAGACAGCGTTGCTGGTGGAGGGTAAGGACCTTCGTCGACATCGAACTCGTCGACATCTTCGACATCGTCGCGTCGATTTCTCGACCAGAACCGGCGAAATATGGATTTCATTGCAGGCGTCAGTCAGGTGTTTTTGTTCCGCAAATTCACTTGATTAAAAAAAACACCGGTTTTGTGTTTTTTTTGGTGTGTTTTTAGTAGTGTTTTTAGTTTTTGGTTTGTAAGGGCATCGTACACATGTCACACTGCACTTGGCGATGTCACACTGCTGCAGGTATCATCAAGGGTCGGGATGTGCGGTTTCGAAGATTACGGTGAAAATGATTGAACATGGTGTGAACTGCCCTCATCATGCTGTTAGTTAAGTAACAAATCCTATATAAGGGTAAATCTATTGTGTGGCTATGATACGATCTACACAAGTTCTTCATTCATGAAAAGAATAGATTTACCGATGTCTCAAGCGCTTTTTGCTTCCAGAAATCGTTCATCCGAGACATTGACCACCTCTTCGATCGATTCACCGGTTTTCAGTGAACTGGAAGGGCGACCCAAGCTGTTCTGCCGCATCCAGGGCTTTTGGGTAAGATGATGATGTACACTTCGGAGAACGACGGTCCTTCCCTATAGACCAGTTGTTTTCAGGGTCCATGTCAGTCTGCGGGGTAAGATGTGAAGGTTGATCATATATATATATATATATCTTCATGTACGAGGTCTTTTAATCTATAGTCATCATGGTGTTGCAAGGGCACGGGTCACAGAGATTCGATGTTTGATGCTTTTTGATAGTGTTGCAAATGGCTGACTACCAAGAGCCAGCCGCCGGTAGTTTGGAAACGTGCCAGCCGGTTTGCCCTTCAGGAGCATTGTCTTCTGGGTGGTTGCGGTAGCCTACAGCAGCTTTTGTCAGCTCTACATTTGCCTATTTCTGGCCACAGTGAGAGACGCAGACGCGCAACAGTGGCTTGAGAGTGTGGGTGTCAGCCTTCTTCAGGCCTGCATGCCGAAGAAGCACTGGAAGCACAAACGATGTCGGCAAACATGTCCTGCAACACCCATCAGCCAGCCGAACGGTCATTCTCAAGCAACTACTCTAAGTACTTTTGTATCAAGGAGTATCAATTACCGTGTAAATATGATTTCGACAATGCGAGCGATGTCATACACACATAATTAGAGTGAACCTTGGCAGATTCAGCTGGGATGTGGATCAAGATGGATCAAGGCAAAGCAATGAGAACTTATGGCTATACCTCTGAATAATACCCCCCCTCTGCATTGATCAAGTGCAGACCCTAAAATAATGTTAAATCCAGAAACATTCCATAAACATATTGATGTGAAGTTGAAATAAAAGGAACATGAAAGGACAGAAAAAGGAAATGAATGGAAAAGGAAAGGAATGGACAAGAAAGAAAAGGACATGAAAGGAAAGAAAAGACAATGAAAGGAAAAGAAGAGAAGAGAGATAGAGAGAGAGAGACCACTGGGCTCCATCAGAGGATCCAGAAAAACTTTAGTACAATATGGGGTCAATTGATAATGTGTTTTTGAACAAACTTAGCATTATTCACGGTCCAGTTATAATTCTGAAGTCAACATTATGAGCTGCACTTCTCCAGTAGACCAAGTTGCTGCGGTTGGTTCATTTGGAGGTGAAACACCCAGATGACCTATGGCACCACCCTTCAACCAGGTAAACTGATCTGAGATCACTGAGATCGGTTTCATGTTCCAATCCTTGGTCCAACTCCTCAACTTTCCTTGGCGTCATCGGACGCCTTCGTTGGGGACGCTCATCGGGTCGCGACCCCACCAACATCGTGCGACCGACCTGGCGCACCTTCAGTTGCAGAGACTGAATTGGCCATGGCTGAACTTCAGTTGCGCCCTCCAAACCGAAAGGACGGTCGAACGAAAGGACGGGAGACACCCCTCAGAGAGGACGACGTTGAGTCGACCGCTCCAAACCGGGTAGACGAACCTTGGGTCCGAACCTTCGGGGGGTCGAAAATATAGGAGATCTCCTCTATTTGAGCTACACACCCCAATGACAGGAAACCAGAAAACAGGTCGCTGGGAGGTGTTTTTTGAGCCAGCTCCGACCGCAGGACTTGTTGCTAAAGCCTTTCCTTTTCGCGCTGATCGTGGCAAGCATGTCTACCATTGTTCTTGCCTGCAACGCGCGCGTACGGAGGCGTGCTTCGACGGGTGCAAAGGGACCAATCAATCCCAGAATCATCTCAATTATGCATGTATAGATCAATTTGCAACATTTGGGCCTGGGACTCCAACTCATGAATTAGTCCAAAGCAGCTGTTCACAGTCATCCGATCTACTCGGATGACCGTGGTCTTCGTACGGACCGATCATCTCGCATGTCGAATGGATAGACATCCGTCGGACCCTTCTCGTCGAAGCAAATTGGTTCGCGCTTCAGGAAGCTTGAAGCTCAGTGGTTGGAAGAAGAGAACAAAGTTCAGGAGAGTCGCCGTTTCTTTTTGTTGCATGCCGAGAATATATAGGGCGCATAGGCAGAGGTAGACGTGACCATTTCACCAGTCAATTCGTTGTAAATCTTGTTGAACCGTTCCTTGATCGAACATATACGTACTAAGTAGTGCCCTTGCAAAAATGGGTGGACACTACGAGAGGTTTCAAGGTGTGGAACTCGTTTTTGCACACAAAACGTCATGTGAGGCAGACTGACATGTCCAGGATCATACGGGGCGGTCTTCAGAGTATCTCTGGGGCGCAGGTCCATAGAATTCAATTCAAAGCCCACTGAAATCATTTCATAACTTTCCAAGTAGAATAGACCAGCTAAGTAAAGTGCAAAAAATCCACGCAGACAACGAGTTACAGACTTTGCACGCGCATTGTTGTTCCACACTGCCCTCAGCTGACTCAGCACACAAATTTGTGGAAGATCAGAAACAATTGCATCTGACCTGTTTATTTACTTTGTGGTTCTTTCATGCAGCCGACTTTTGCTTTAAAAGGGTTGTGCACGCAAGGTGTTCCGTTGTCACAGGACTTCAGAGACAGTCTCAGATCAATCCGATCAAGTCGAAAGCAAGTGAAGAAGCAGGCTCCGGCTCAAGCAATTGGCTGTCACGTGTCCAGATTTCTCCGGCTACTAGATCCTCTCCCGGTTTTTCCTTGTCGTTGGAACTTAGATATTCAGACGTTGTCGTTGGAGTCTAATTTCCTCGAAGCCAATGCCGGTGGGCAATGCCCAGTTAGATCCGCAGTTTGGTGCTGTCTCGAGACAGAACTGTAATAGCTACATCAGCTGCAAGTGTATACTTTCTTCTTTAGATTCTTGGGAGTTTCATGATTGTGTATCTAAACCTTGACCCATAGCCCGTCTCAGTGTTGTGGGCTTTGGACATGATTTTTCAGGCCAAGGAGGCAAAGAATCAGGAAGCAGCTGAGTTCTCAGTGGTGCTCCCAGGCATGCCAAGCTCATATTAGTCCTCCTGTTGTTCTGGCGAAGCAGTTGGCTAGCCACATCAGATTTTCGATTTGCTGAAGGGGACCATCAGGGCCCCCCAGACCTTCAAGACGACAGACCTGGCGCCATGTGTGGAGAGACCCCAGTTCCCACATGAGATACACCATGATACCCCCACCTCCATGAATCAAAAGGCATGAAAAGCCAACACTAAAAAATCTGGAAAACCACTTCAGCGTGGATTCAGATCTGTGCAGATGGCTGGAGCCATAGGTGACCTGTCGCCGCATCAGGCGGCCAGTCACTGCATTTACAATTCCTTCGCTTTGCAGAAGGCCATGCCATGGGCCAGGCAGGGCAGCCTCCGATGAATGTCCACCAGGTCACCAGACGTTAGACATTTGGACATATGGTTTAAATATATTTCTTGAACAAGCTGCCGGAGGCTACGCTGCCAGACCATGTTTTGTGATTCCCTCCAGTTTTTCACTCCAAAAGGAGGTTTGTACACCTTGCATTGGTGAGGTGTTTATTATCCCTGGGGGTCCAACTTTCTTCTCAGAAGCTGTTTGATCCCCCCACCTCAACCACCCTCTCAGGAGATCGTTGGAACCCGATATAGGGTCCCTCATGATTCTTCACACAATTGCCCAAGTCATACGAACATGTTATTTCACCCAAATCTTGGGTCATTTATCCTTTTCCGTTTTTCTCCTATGAAAGCACTCAGGGGGATGGTGTGAAGAGTCTTGAGAGATGGGTCTTACATGGATTTGGGTCATTTTGGGTCCATTTCCGGATGCCGGACGTGGAGTAAAATCGACTTCCGGCGCTTCGGCGCACCCTTCCTTCGATGTCGGACTGTTTCGGTGGCCCAGCAGGGTGGCCCAAGAGGATCAGCTGTCGCTCGCTCGGTTCGCTCCAACACGGAGTTGGCCCAAAAGAGGCAACCCGTTTGGCCGAAGCAACTGCTACATGTTGGTTCGGTCATGTTCGGTCCCAAACTGCGATGGCCTCCAACCTAATATATAAGGTCCAAAACCCCAGTTGTGAGGGTCCAGGGTGATCCTACTTGGCTTGGGTGATTCCTCGGCCACCGGAACAGAGTCGAAGGATCAGAGTTCGCGCCAGGGTGCGCCACTCGGCGCACGGTCGCCGGTGCTGGAAAGGAGCACAGCAAAAAGGAGTACGGCTTCAGCAGTGATAGGGTGTTCAGCTTCAGCAGTGGGAGTTGGACTTGCCAAATGACATGATCTCCCTGCTTCCATCTTTCATTCGATGTTCCTTTTCCTCACCACTGTGTTCATAATATCACTGTCGGGTCTGCTGATCGAACTATCAGCTTTGACTTGTGTGGCAGGTGTTGGTGACCCAACATGAGTAATAAATGGGTTCCTGGTGTGAATCTGACCATGCACATCTTCTTAGGCCTCATGGTATAGAATTTGGTGGGTTTGCAACCAAGTTCGAGAGGCACAACGTTTGTTTGGCCAGTGTGTTTGCAGTATACATTTAAGAGATGAACCCGTCAGAACTGTCAGAACGGTAGACTTGTCTATATTTCTGTTTTGGGTGGGTGTACCATCCCACAGTTAAACAGTTAAAGTTAAACGTCAACGTTCACCCCACCGAGAGGCGCCATGGCCATCAGCCATTTTTTGCTTCGTGTTGCCCACCTCACCGCAGGGAAACCTTAAGGCGATCCGGATCGTTCTTCGATTCGTACAGCTCTCTCTCTCTCTCTCTTTCTCCTTCTAGTATAAGTGTTTTTGATGTGTTTTTCATGTCTTGAAATGTCTGATAGCAGGCAGACACTCACATTTAAGCACATCATCCCATCATCCCACATCCCACATTTCTATAATTTACTATATATTATGTTTGTTAGATAATATTGTTCAAAATGTTTGGACATAATATATATAACTATTACAATATATATTTATATGAATTCAATTTCAATATCTTGCTTTTACGGTCGGATCCAAGACCTCAAATGGTTAGCCAGTAGCGATTTTCGCAGACCCAGGTCTTGCTGATGGCTTTCTTCCTTCTTTGCCTGCCTCGGCGCTTGTCCGCTCTTTTGGCAGCCACATGGCAGGGTCCATCTGGCAGAGGGATTGGCAGAGGGATGGTTTTTTCGATGTGTTTCTCAACCTATACAGATTCAATCAGGAGCCTTCAGCCCAAGAGTGTTTTGTTTGCCTGTAGAATGTGTAGAATTGTGTGATAGACATGTAAAACAGGAGAAAAGAGACACCCTGCTGGCCAGCATGGCATTCTTTTGTTTTCGTATCATCAGTCTTCCAGGTGCTGTTTTGGCCGAAGCTTCCACGCCGGTTTGTCCAGATTGGAAGCCCTATTTGGAAGCCGTTTGCATGACATATTGACGTAAAACCCACAAAGGACTCGGTGAGTGCGCACCTCTTCAGTGCGCACTTCACTTTTGAGGACTCGTCTACGCACCCTAGCGCACCTGCCAAACGCACCGGAGGCGTTGCATAGCTCAGCCGAAATCGGATAGCTCTGGTCCTGCACGTCCTGAGGCTTTGATGTACATTCCAGTTGCTCAACTTGCAAGCGCAGCTCGACTGGGGCAGACCGACGCTCGGGGCAAGCGGATGATCAGTGGAAGGAGTGACCCTCGAAACGGAGAAAACCTCCCACTCCCCATACCAATGGCCTGAGAAAGGTTCCTCAACCAAACACCAACAATGTGTATGATAATTACTAGTTATGATACTGTATATGTGATCTTTCTGTGCCCCATTGCCCATTTCTGACATTTGTTTGAAGCGATAGATTTGGACAACTTTTGTCATATCACATTCTTGGTCATACGACGTCATACGATATATGAAAACAGAGCTTAGCTCAAGCGGGTTTTGGACGCCCAATGGACTGATCCTCCCTGGTGGACCAGAGACCGAGCAGGTTGACAACAGCTCGTCCGGCAGGTTAGGCTGGTAGGTTACGATGACATCTTGTTATGCAGAAGAAGGTTTGTTCTTTGTGGCCCGAACAACATCTATATAGCGCAAACTACCTTTTGCTACGACCCTTTTTTGTTTGTGACTGGAAAACCCGACACGGTACTTAGAAGTTCACAAGTTCACACCTCACAAGAATACACCGAAGGCAGATGATTGCAGTAGTTTATCGGTTAATTTATCATATGTTGTCATATCTTGACATTATTGCCTACGTGGTGATACTGCCAATAGTTTAAAGTTGCCCGGGCAAGCTACGACCTGCCACGTCAATCGGCCCACGTCAATCGAGAGGGGAATCATTCCTCAGTGAGTCGCAACATCCTCAGTGAGTCCTTGACTCATCTTGACTCGACTCGACCAGTTTTGAAGTGCCAATGAGAGAAGCTTGCAGGGTGACTGGTAAAGATGGTAAAGGGTGAGGCTCCAACTCTAGAGTCCCAAACCATAGTGCCATAGTGCCCAGGTGTCGTTTATGTCGTTTCTTCCGGACTGTCGGCACTACTCAGGCGGGTGATAATGGACCACATGCCAGGCGCAGTTCCGGATCATCGTGGGAAATGGAGGAAATGGTGGACCTGGGATTGCTTGAGGCTTGAGGAATCCTTTTTCGCGGGAATCCATATCCAGAAACAAAGTCCTACACCATTTTTGTTGATACCTCTACCACACCTGCTCCAATCTGAATGGAAATTGCTTCAAGCTTTCATTCATGAGGAGGATGACCAATCAACCAGAGAGACAGACCTTTATGACTTCCTCAGGTGCGTCAGCAAGTTGTGGTGTTTATTTGCTTTAATCAGGATGTTTGGATGAGTGGGGAGAGAAGAGCTGCTATAGGTTTTAAGATGTTTTAAGACACAAGTCACCAGTGTCGGACAAATCGATGATGATCCCCAGAGATGCCATGATGCTGTCATCGACTGATTTGGAGAAAACCCAGCTGGCCCCAAAAAACTGCCAATGTTCCACTCAATTCCTATCAAGTGCTCAAGAGTACTATCACTTTCCCTGGATCCCACAGCCTAGCGTTTTGCCTTCATGACCTGCTCATCTTTACCACATCAATTGAAGCTAAGCTGGCTTCGCTTCCCAGCTTCACTTCTCGGATGGATAGACCCCTAAACCCTAAACCCGAGCGGCTAGAACCCCTCTTCCCAGCCTCCTAGGATGTTTGATCACATGCCCTGCGCGCTGATGACCGTCGCCATTGCGAACTTGCTGCCCACCGCTTCCACCTTGGCTGCGAGCCCTTGGAGTGCCAGGCAGGATCTTTGCACCATGCTGAAGTCTGAGCTGGTGCTGTTTTCTTTTTGTAAAGTTCAAAGTGATGAATGAAGCATAATGAAACAGATGACCACCACAAAGGTCTCAACCTGTATGATATGATATGTTTGTTATGGTTGCAGAGTTTTCTTTTGACTCTTGTGACCCCTTATGCTTGTATTTAGGATCCTTTTCCTTGGCTGCTGAGGAGTACACGACTGACCATGGCAGATCCCGTTCTGGGAGCACATGGGCTTAAATTGAAAGGGTGCTCAGGGGCAACTTTTGGGTAGTTATACCGTACCCCATAACTACAGCTCTTATACCTTTTTGGACACTTTGAGCAGCTTGACCGATGATGACTAGCTACTGCAAAAGTTGACAAGCGGTCAGGTATATAGAATATTGAAAACACATGTCAACTGATCCGCACCCGCAGCTTTCGATTCAGAAGTCAATTCTGAGCCGATTCCATGAAGTTTGTTCCTTGGGTGTCAAATTCTGCAAAGTCCTCAGACCTGCAGTTTATGCCAGCCATGTATCAGCTATGCCATGTAGATGCGGAATCTGCTCAATCAGAATGTTCTTTCACATTTGCTCGAATCAGTCGAACGCAGCAGATTTGCTGGCGGTCTTTGCTGCGGTACGCCTCACCCGCGGTAACGCCTTGAACTCTTGTGTCCGCGACGCTTTGGGCGGATGAAACATATTTAGGATTAGGATGAAAAGAACGTCCAAGGGCAAAAGCACTAAAAAAGTAACAAGTTAAACAAATAACACACGCTCTCCTTGTCATGTTGCGATGGGCTTTGGAACCTTCCGCTGGGCGCCAGTGGCGGCGGGCCTAATTTGCTACCTTCTTCCCCCCCTGCGGCTGGCCTTCGGCGCCCCAAGCTTTGAAGAGCGGTTCTATGCCGCAAATGATGAGCGTTGATGCCAGCCCAAGCAGATACCATCAACTTCGACTGGGTGTGTACTAGGGAGACACCAGAAATCTCGCCAAGGGTCGAACTAGGAGCTCCCTAAGACACACTCTGACGTCGGCAGTGGAATTCCCCACTCACGTCGGCTGTGAGTCATGGTGGACCTGGGTGGACCACCAATCGATGAACAGAATAGACAGATATGGTCAAGCTACGAGGGTGTCCAGGGCTCCTGGTTTTGACTCACAGTCATATAGCCATAGGCCATAGGGATACATGACAGCACAAAGCATGACCGCTGGTCAACCACTCCGGTTTGTCAGCGTTGGCCTTTGGCCCTCATCTGCACGAAAACTGTCGTATTGGTTGAACGTCTTGCAAGAAGTATAGACTCTGTCTCAGGGTGAGCTTAAGAAGAACCTAGAGAGAAACCGAACGCCCCCTTGACTGTCCTCATGCGCACTCTTAGACCCTTAGTCCGTTTATTTTTGATGGATTTCTTACTAAACCACGAAAGGTCAAACCCTCAGCGAAGGACCGGCGTGGACAATCAACTCATGAACATCCACTCTTGACGGTATCGATGTTGCCTGACAATCCCCGCAAAAATATTGTCGTGTGTTGTTTCTACTTGTTCTTGTTCTTCTTGTTGTTGTTGTTGTTGTTGGTGGTGGTGGTGGTGGTGTTGGTGTTGGTCACGTTCAAACATTCAAGTGTCTCAAGGCCAGCTTTGGGATTGACCCTGTCAAATTGAGTTTTGCATGTTTATGTGCTTTAGTCGCATGTATCCCTGGCGTGTTGGGCAAAAAAACAAGTTGTTTGGCAAGAGACTAGGTCCAGTGAGAGAACATTTGCATGAACTGCAGTACTGCAGTTCACGGAAAAAAAAGGATCATAAGGGACCTGACGTCGATCTGCAGTGCGCATATTGTACAACACAGGCAATGGAGAACGGAGGACGCTCAAAGAATGACAACCCCTGGAACCTTATACACTTTGTAAACACAAAGCCCTGCAAGAAGAAGGAGTCCCCGGTCTAAAAGCATTCAAAAGTAATTGACCCGAACCTCACATGTTCGGGTTGCACAGCTGGTCCCTCTTCAGGCTCCTCGCTACGACGCTACCGAGGTTTTGGGCCTGGCAGGAAAGGGCCCGGCAGAGTGTCGCGAGCCCACCGGAAGGAAGAGTCGGAAGGCCACGCTATGTAGGATGTACAGAAGCTTGGCAGCTGGTGATGGCGTGAAAGGGCTTTTGCGGGCATTCTTTGTTTGAAGAACCCATGGGTCAAAGCCAAACCAAAAGAAACATCCTGCATTCCGCTTGGTCTTGAATTAGACCCGTACCCCTCAATGACAAGCCACAAGTGGCTGGTTGGATGGAGCTTCATGGAATTCATATGTTTACATATGTTTACCTTCCAAAAAGCACACGTAGGAATGTGTGCCGGACTTGAAGATGGAAGGACGCGCCAAAATGCATTTTTACACTTGGAAATGCTGTGTAGTCACAAAAAAAAACTTAAGGATGGTTTGGCAGTTTGGCATGTCATTTTATGTTTCGGTCCGGATATTATATGATACATATGTATTATGTATATATTTTTTATATAATAATTAGGCCCTACAATTCCAAATGCGATGTTTAACTTAGAATTTGTGTGTATTATATATAATCAATATATATATATATATATGTGGGTGTGGAAGACTACCTGCAAATTGACACAAACATGTTCAACAGAGAAAGGAGCAGACTTAGAATGCCTCACAACAAACAAAGTGCCCAGGAGCCTGATGACAAGGAAAAGAAAAGACAAAGGCAGGGGATAGAAAGGCAAGGAAAGAACATGGAAAGGAAATGGTAAGAAAGGAAAGGAAACGAAGCGAGAGGCAGTGAATGAGAAAGGTTTCCTCTCAGCCCACCAAATCCCAGAACCAGCAATACCAATATCCATAAATGACATCAGATGATAGTAAGTACAACCAAGTGCGCCTCCATGTATTTACAGGCATTCTATCTCTCGATTCAAGTCTTCCTCGACGGGTCTGGCTCTTCCCCAATGGGTCCGGCGCGATTTTCTTGGAAGTTAACACACTGCAGTTAGAGCGACAGGCCATGCCAGCAAAACGATCATGACATATCCCAGACACGACTAATGGGACTGCCATGTATGCCGCCTACAGATTGGGTGGTTGACTGGGGTTCTTTCTGGGGCGGCAGTCCTAGTCCCAGGCAGGTCGTGTCTGGGTATCATGACCAACTTCGTCATCAAATCCCTCAGGAGGCTGCCGAAGTGCGAGAATCCACTACGAAGGCCTTGCTGCGCAGCTGGCCTGGTGGAGATCTCGAGGAGCTCTGGTCGGTGGTTGGAGGCCTTTCAGGGCTGGATGCCTTGCAAGCCTTGCACGCTCGGCAGGTGCCGCAGCGGTGCTGCACGGTGGAAGGACGGTGAATGGTGCAGGACCGGAGTTTCAACACAGGGACGTCAAAACAGATTTCTGAATCTCTGAAGGCAGATGATGAAGCGCGTTCAACTTGACTGCTTCACCATTTAGATTGATCCTGTTCATCAAGATCGTTTCTCCATTCTGAAACCGAGATGTTTATCCTGTTTCCTTATACGAACTGGCATTTTGGCATACGAACTTGATCTTGAAAGGTTAGATTCCCTATCACTTCGGTCCATTTTCAGGTGAAGGTGAAGAAGGCGATCTTCTTCGACGTGTCCTGGCCTCGCCGTGGTAGACTGCATGGGAGGGTCGACCAAACTGGGAGGGTCTGCACCACACCCACAGGCTGCTGGGATGGTGAGAGGGAGGAATCCTGTGAGCTACACACCACCCGAACTGGGAGCGCTCCATGGTGAGAGGGGGGAATCCTGTGACAAGTGGGGAGTTATATAAATGCTGAATTTATTGTAAGAATTCGCGACTGTGACAACTCTGTGGTGTTCTGACAGCACGAACAGTAGGTGTACACAGAACCTCAGCTACTAGGGACCCACCCATTTCTGAAAGTGTGCCAACGTTCAAAAGTCCCGTTTACCTTCCCAAAAGGGGCAAGACAGGAGCCAGGGGCAACCAGTTCTTGTCGGCAGCCATGCACGCTGGGTGACCTTGGTCTACCAAGTTCCCAGGTATGCAAGCTGTGTCCTCAGCGGCTGTACAGACTCCAGAAAGACCAGGAGGAAGGTCAAGCGGATAAATGATAGACTACTTGCCTCCAGATGATGGCAGAGTACTTGTCTCTTGACAATGCCAGACTTACCTTTTAGAGACTTAAACCATCCGTTATATCCAGCAGCTCTCAAAGTTGTGTTTCCTTTAGCTGCCATGCTGTAGGGAGGTGCGGGAGAGATTCCCCATGCCCCAAATCAATCTCACCCAGTATCTCCCCCATTTCACCAGAGCAGGTTCCTCAATTTGAACCTCCAAGGTGACGAATCTTCAATATCCCTCAACGATTCACTCCTTTTTCGGAGCCTATTCGCCCCCACGATAATAAGAAGATCGATGTCCCTCGCCAATGGTGAACTGATTTCGAGGTCAGTGAACTTCAACTGCAGTATGGCCAACTGCTGCTGCACCTGATCCAACTGCATCCGACTCGCGAAGCTTTGGTGGAAGCGCTCTATGGACGCTCCATGGCACGTGGGGGAACCCAGAAGCCCCGGTGCGCACCGGGGGGGCTCCAGGATGACCTGGATCCCTCAACCACCAAGAAACATAGGTGTGAATAGACTCCATTCTCCCAAAAGTCATGAAACATGTGATTTTCTTACAATCGTGTGGCGCGTCGTCTTGTGCGCGAGGCTTCGGCCGCGTCTTGTGCGCCTCCAACATGATGGACTTCCTCAACGAAGCTCCAGCGGCTGAGCCGGAGATCCAGACCCGCGAGCGGTTGCCAGAGCAGCTGCAGGAGTCCCGGATCGAGCTGGCCTCCAACCTACTTGCGATGGCCTCCACCTAATAGCGTCCTTGCTACCAGTAGCTTACCTATAGTCCTGGATCGAGCAGCTCGGAAGCTTCGAAGTGAGGAAGGATGACCCTCGTGGAGCTCCGAGCTCAGCTATGGACTCGGGTCGGGTACGAGTCCCTGATTTCACCCAGGTCGAGATCAAGCAATTTTTGTTGGATGAGAGTTTGATATCTTTGGTTATTGATAATTCAGGAATGAACCTATGTTGGTCGATATTTTCCCTTTGAGAGTCAAGCTTTCTGCTTTTTGCAAAGTCTTGTGTCCAGAAGTCATAAGGATCGGCAGAAGGAAGATACAGTCAAGATAGCAAAGGAAGGTAAAAATGTTTTTTCCTTCCTTGGACAACCATTGATACGGAAAGGGATTCTGATCAGTGGAAAGTTGAAACTCAGACTTTCACGTTTTGTGGAAAGCACTATGGTTGTTATGTGGTGCTTTAAAGTATATTTTTTGAAAATGTGTTTGTTCTCTTCGTATACTTGATAACATTGATATAGAGTACATACATTAGTTAGTACAATCTCAATTATTGTTTACTATTATATACCAAGTTCAAGTTGCGAGAGGGGCAACGAACAAAAAGAAACACTCGTGTTTTGTTTGCAACTCTGGTCCCCCCGGCCTGATCTGCAGAACATAGTCTAATTCAAACAATATCAGGAGACATACTTTTCGGTCGGTAGGTAAATCTTCCTTTCTATCTTAATATATAGAAATGGAGGCCATTTCAGTCTATATCAGTCTAAAGAACTTAAATCATGTTTTGCCTCAATGCGCACATTCCATCCATCCATATTGTTTGCCTCACTGCGCATCCATTTTGTTCCTGTCCCATCCATGCAGGAGCTCTATCGCAGTGTCTTCCGCTGCATCAGCCGTCCCTCCTCATGGCCGGTCGTGTGGCCTTGCTTCGGTCGGAGTTCGTCACTGCCCCAGCGGCGCATGGCACCCGTAAGCCTCAGCAAGGCGCAACGACGCCTGGGAGGCCACCGCAACGATGCTCGTTGCTCCGAACGCCGCGCCATGCGGCGGTCCGTGCGTGAATTGGCGCGCGCGCATTTTTTTTCACACAATGTTTTTTCTAGAATGTGTTGTGAGCCGAGCCAATTTCAAGTGACAGTTTGGAGATCTTCCAAGTGCAATTTTTCAGGAAGGCATCATGCAGTTTTGGGTGAATTTGTTTGAGGTGTGCTATTTTTCACCAGGAGGCCTGCCATTTTTTGTAGAGTTTGGTTCTTGATGTTGGTTACCTTTCCTGGCAGCCTTTCACCTTCCAGGAAGCCTTCCACATCAACGAAGCGGGGTGGTTGAAGAGTGATGAGACCTTTCAACAGCTTCGCTCTTGCATCCTGGAGCTTCAGAAGCGGAACTGCCTGGAGTTTCGACACCTCAACTTCAGGGACATACCGAAAGTCGGAAACTTGGCTGCTCAGGGATTGTGTCAGAGGCAAACGGAAGGGTAGTGCACAGAAAGGGTTTTGCAAAAACCTATTCTACTAACATCGTGGAAGGCGCGCCACATTCGTAGAACCCAAGGCTATTCGTGGACAGTTCGTGGAATGGTGGGCCAGTAGGAGAACTGACTGCAACGAAATCCCAGAAACCTTCGCAGAACTTCGTGGAAGGTATTTTTGATGCACTAACTTCGTATAAGCGATTTTTGCAGACCCCCTTTTTCCACACACCCTCCATTAAGCCTTCATTGTTATGAGGAACAAGAGAGACCGTTTGTTTCATTTTGTTTCTATATATGTTTATCTCATGATCGTTCGATCATCGAAATGAGAATCCGGACTTCGACTTTGCTGAAGCCAGACATGATAGAACAAAATAGACTCACAGTGAGACTCACAGGCAATGTTGCTGTCAACTTCTGATTTGGGAGCTCAATGTTGGTGAGCATGCATTTTTGAGGGTTCCTGGCGGTTCAGGATAGAAGCTGAACCCTTTAGGCCAGCCGTTTTTCTGGCCGCCGCACCCGGCGGACTCTGGTTCTGGTTCGCTTCGTTGACAACTGGTTTACAGCCTGGACTGACAGCTACAGCTCAGGTGAGCAACGGGTGATCTTCATTTCGAACATCGATGGATCACCCCAGTTCTTAGCCGACGACCAGCTGGGACACTTGGACGGCGCTAGACGACGTGACGGGTTGAAGTCATGAGGGAGATGTCAGGGAAACATAGGAAAACACCCATCATATAACATATGGTGATACATATAAATTTACTATATGTGTTAGAAAATAACTTGGGGCTGAAGCACTCAGACACGTGTTTGCACAGTTTTCTTTTCTGTATGTTCTCACCAGCTGTCACTCTTGTTTTTTTTTGCTTTGTTCTTGTTCAAGTTCAAGGCGCTTGGCGTCGGGAAGCGCATGGCACGTTGCTCTTATCCACACGTGGCGCGGAATGGCTTCCATGAGACACATGGAGACGACTCGACCAGTTGAAGATGCGCAGCGCTTTCTGGTGGAAAAAATAAGGATGAGAAACGGAGGTGAGGACTCCTCTAATCGGCAGGTGTGACACCATGATGTACCTTATTCCACCCGTCCACATGAGGAGGTGGACGGATGTGGAGAGGATCTTCAATGTTCAGTCCCACCAAGTGCCGCAAAGACCACCGGGGGCACCGGGGGCTCCAGTGAAGGATGAACCATGATGAACCCCTATGGACTGGACCCTGTTCAATTGTCCAGTTGGACTGCGGTTGACCAGAGGTATTTGTGGGTTTAGTATGAGCCTGAAGCCCCTTGGAGCGGCTACGCTCCAAATGGCTTTTAGACAGAGCAGTGACCAGTCATGTCGAACATTGCTGAAACAGATAACCAGCCTTGCTGTTTGGTTCATGTTTTCGATATCACCCTTCAGAATGTCCTAGCCGCTCAAAAATAAAAGAAACACGTGGTGCGCCTCGGGAGGCTCTCCCTGTGGTTGGGAACGGCCGTGCTTTGCTTGTGGCTTTGGTCCCTTCCCTCCGAACAGGCGTGGGTTGTCCGTGATGCGACCTTGACGTGTCAATGACAGTGCTGAGTCGTCATAGACTGACGTCGAGCAGAGTTTGGTGGTGTTTTCTTGACGAGAACGACTGAGTTTGGACAAAAAATGTGGCAAATCACTTAGACTTGGTACTTGATGGTTGCAGGTTGTTTCGGGCTCGACCTTCCAACTAAAGGATGGTTTTATCATGCTTTCTCCGTACCAGCTAAGCTTTCACTTCGACCCAGACCAAGGGGTTGATATTTGTTTGTCGACTGTGTTGCATCCTTTGGAAGTGGAGCATGGTATTTGGAAGGAAGGCCACGCATAATTTCAGAAGGTCAAGATCAGCCTCTCAGAGCCCGAAAGGAAGGATCTTCAGGTAAACTCAATGGCCCCAAAGGACGTGATGCTTAATACTGGCCTATAATAGCCCCTTACAGGTGATTTGGGGTTTCCATTAACCACCCCAAACCGGAGGCCCTGCAAGAGGTTCACCCACATAGCATGAGTATCCACCAACTCACCATCAGTCGAACCGGTGCGTCAGATGGAACAACTGGAGCAGCTCACCATGTTGCAGCTGCCGCCCTGGTGGCATGGCGCCATTGCGAGTCCAGCGTACGGGTGGCAAGACGAGTTGGGAAAAAGGAACTATGGAAATCCCACCACCCAAGAGATCACAAGAACGGGATTGGACAAATAAATGCTCAAACATGCACAACATATCTCAAAATCTTCCCTGACCGGAAAAAATAAAACGTCAATCCCAGCGCGATGCCTCTTTTCAGCATCACACCTGGTGACATCGCTTCACGGACCCTCCGTTCGAGACGGCGCGAAGACGGGCGCCCCCCGCGTCCGACGGGTCTCAGGCTTTGGCGCCGCTCGGCGGTGTTGGCACCGCTGGTCTTGGTGCTGAGGCTTTTAGACGCCGAGGCACAAGGCGCACAGCGGAGAGGTCTGCCGGAGAAGTTTCATGAAGGGTCGCTGTGAAAGGATGAGGGCCAGGGCCAGGAATGTCGTGGGGACAAAAGCATTTTGTTGTGTTTTGTGTTGTTTTGTTTGTTTGTTTATTTGTGTGTTTCTTTCTTTCTTTCTTTCGTTCTTTCTTTCTTGGTTTTGTTTGTTTGTTTATGTTTTGTTTGTTGTTTTGTTTGGTTTGGTTTGGTTTGGTTTGTTTTGTTTTGTTTGTTTGTTTGTTTGTTTGTTTGTTTGTGTTTTATAGATTTCTTTTGTATGTCCTTATTTCTTGAACGCCTAGAAGTAGTCCAGGGTAGTGAGATGGTGACCGGGGTCCATGAGGATATTCCCTTTGAAGGGAGGTTCTGAAGTTCTATCATTTTCGAAGCAAATTCAGTGTTCTGTGTCATGCATACAGCGCATCAGCGCATCAGCCCTGTGAATAGACCCCGGACATGAACAGTTGGCTGTGCGGGGTATACCAGGAGTTTGACCCACATCCTGTCCTCTCCATTTTTTCGTGTGCTGACGCTACGAACGGGGCTCCTGGCCTTACTACTAGTAACAAGAAGCTACGATCGGGGCTCCTGGCATCGCTACGAACGGAGCGATCGGACGCTACCTGGTCGCCCGCCGAAAGGCACCCCCCGCCGCCCCCGGCTCCCGCGCGCCACGTTCAAAACTCTGCAGGGGACCCAAACATGTGGCAGAGTCGCTATAGAACAGTGGGACCCACCAAATGATGGCCTCCAACCATACTAGTGATGGCCTCCAACCTACTAGGGCCTCCAACCATACGAGTGATGGCCTCCAACCTACTAGGGCCTGTAGAACTTTTGCCAATATCTCCGCCCATGGACCACTTTGGTCACACTTGTCCCAAGCGGTTCCGCTAGCCCGCTAGGCGGTTCACGCGTGGGCTGGTCCTTGGTCAATGCGCTGGGACGTTTGTGCGGGCAGATCAACCTGACGCATTTGTTTGTTCCTGGGCGATATCAGGGTGTGGGTCAGCACATCACCATCCCAAATCCAACAATTCGTTGACATGAATGGGGACTGTCGGAGATCTGTGTCTTCAAATGTGGTCATGAGCCATGGACTCCCATGTCCACATCTTAGACATTAGACACGATGCCGGCTCAAGCCTGGCGACCTCGCCAGAAGGAGCTTTGAGTGACATGAAGAGCCTTCTATAGAGTAATCAAGCTCTAGTGTTCTGAGGTCGCGAGATCCATCCAAGTAGCAAAATCCAAGGATGGAACATAATAGAACCGTATGTTTAAATACATTGTTTGAGCAAGCAGAGAACAGATCGTATTTGTCCATGATGTCATCGCGAACTTCTGAGGTCTTTGAAAGAGGGCGTAATTTTCCTGTTACGTGGTAGTCAGATAGAAGTGTCCATTGAGGATGATTCAACCACTGGAGGTGTGTCTTTGGGATGCAATCTTGGCCGTTGTTCTGACGGCCAGAGTACTAGCACAGCCGCATCTGCAGTGGTTTTATGGCCTGAGGTCCTTCAACTGCACCGTGGCTTTGCAGCGCCTTGTCCCTCTCGGGAGCCTTGTTTGCCCCGTCCTGGACAGAAGAAACATGGCCCTGGAACCGGTCATGGGAAGTCATTTGTATCAAAGTGAAGAAGGTCGGTGATGGTGAAAAAAATCGCATAGTGGCTCTTCCACGGATCACGCCGCTCGTGCCGCTCCCATCAGCATATGAATATATAATAATATAGTAAATCATAATATACATATATATATATATAGTTATATTTGTATTTATTAATATATGTAGTAGATAATTATATGAATAATTATGAATATGTCAGCAATCTTGACCTGGACATCTGCCTTTGATTTGGGACGACTTGTTGGCAATGTAGTGGTCCCCAAGTAAATAGATAGTGGCACGGTGTCCAATACATCTTAGTGGGGGATCTACTTTTCTATCTATTTGGGTATACGGTATATGATGTTCCTGCAGGAAATTCAGTCAATCATGGTACGACACATTGATCGCGGCTAACCAAGATCGGTGCCGGGGAATTTGGGACAGCCTTTTTTTTGTTGGCTCATAGGCAGATAAGATGTGTTTTGGGAACCTTCCGCTGACAAAGGTAGAATATAAACTAAATAAGATCACGATCACGGGGATCCGCAAATGATCGAAAGAAAAGGGATCTCTTTTCCTGCCATGCCCATTAAACATCAACATTGGCATCCACAAAGCTAGCGAAAAGTCTCTTTCATTCCCTACATTGGACGTCCTCCCAAAGTGAGGCATGTTTTTTTTTCGCCGAGGCAGGGAACAATGGCATCAGCCGCGATGATATTGAGCTGCCCGCCAGTGCCAGTGAATTTCTGAAGCTGGTGGTTGGAGCCTTAGACAGTCACCGGCACACTGTCACTGGTCGCCCAAGTCCTGAGCTTGGATTGTTTGAGAATTATGAGACTTTGGCTTGAGAAAGCGTTTCACAACTCCTTGGCGCTTTTGGTGCTTCATTGGCCCTGGATGATGAGAGCTGTGTTTCTGGCCAAGGGAAATGAGACTTACAACAGGTTTCCATCAATACACTGGCTTAATTATATGCCTGACTTGCAACCTTAACCAGCAGCTGCCCCCCCGCAGTGCCCAACCTTAAATCAAAGCTTTGAAAACGTCCCTCACGGGCACCTTTCGTCCATCCGTGAGGCTGGGATCTTCATGTGCTCCACTGTGATCGCGGCAGTGCTCTTCGTGTTCCTTGAAGCGCCGGCACAGGCACGAGCATGGAAACCATGAACCCTTGTTGTGGATTATACTATATGGATCTATATGGTCTTGTTATGGCTTATTCAAGGTCATGTTGAGTCCATGTTCCCTGAGGTGCAGCACCAATCACATGCCATCATAAAGAGCGCCTCATGAGGTGGTGCTGAAAATGCATCAAGTTAGATTTAGCAGTACACGCATTTTTCTCTGTGTGTGATTCCGTAATGATCGCATGCGTTGGATGCACCACGAGTATGCACAATTGAAAGCTGTGTTTGGCCACCATGATGGGAACGATGCATGCTTGAGGCCATCGCTATTAGGGGAGGTCATCGCTACAGTTTTTTTTTTTTTGCACTCCTTCAACAGGTGGTTGAGTTCATTTTTTTGGACTCGAAGTGCATGAGGTGGGATAGCGGATGTTTTGTTCATATTTTTCTTGAGTGGGTCAAAAGAGGCAGACCCTAGTTGAAGCCCACCCACAGACTTGCTCAACCAAAATGAACTGAATAAAATACCAGGACAGTCAACCTACCAGGGTTTGGAGCTCGAGGATTTGACCCTCTGCCATGGGTGTATATATCTTAGCCAGGGAGACTCCCAACCAATGGGTTTTGGTCCATTTTGCGAACCTTTCAGGGGGCCACATTTGAAATACACAATCATGTAGGTCTTGGTTTGGAGGCCATCCCTAGTAGGTTGGAGGCCATCACTCCTAGGTTGGAGGGCATCGCTCTTAGGTTGGAGCCCATCGCTCTTAGGTTGGAGGCCATCACTCTTAGGATGGAGCCCATCGCTCTTAGGTTGGAGAGCATCGCTCTTAGGGTTGGAGGCCATCACTCTTCGTTTGGAGCCCATGGCTCTTAGGTTGGAGGCCATCGACCTTAGGTTGGAGGCCATCACTCTTAGGTTGGAACCCATCGCTCTTAGGTTGGAGGGCATCGCTCTTAGGTTGGAGGCCAT